ATCCATTGTCGTGTTACAAATCTATGATAAACACACGTGAAATCGCCTGTGCTTTATAACAATATCTTATTTGTATGTCTTTCTACTGTAATTAAGGAGAAAATTGGGGAAAACACCACTTAATCGGTCAACTTTCAACCGATTATTGCAAAACATATTACATATTTTTGTTAAAATGCAGCATAATTAAGACAATTAAATGCTAATAACACATAAATTGATGAATAATAAGTCTTATTTAGTGAAAAGATATGTTGAAATATGTATATTTAAGCAGAAAAAGCTAAAAAAGTTTTTGGAAAAAAAATTTTCAGTTTCATTTACCCATGGAATCGCCCATAAATAAGCGATGAAACAGAACTTTTCAGCAGTAATCAACCTACACAATTATTTTTCCTCACTTAATTAATGAGCCCACGACTAGTTACCCTATTATCTTATTGCTATTTTATTTGAGGCTATGATAATTTGTGTTTATTGGATGCGATCCGATCGGGTTTGGATATAATCAGAAAAATTATGAACCGAAAAGCCTTGTTAAAGTGTAATGTTAAGTTAGCCCAATTTACCATGACGAGATGCTCGCATTTTCCTTTGTCTTTGTGCTTTTTGTGGTAAGAATTGATGTTTGGAAGTTTTTTTTATGCTTTATGCTTGGTTAATTAGCAGTTTTCAATGAAATTTGATGTTAAACTGTTCAAATGACAAAAGGGAGAATTCAACATGCTAGGAAATTTGACATGACTTTATAAACAAGCTATTAACTTTCGTTAAAATTTAAAAAAGTAATTTGAATATTTAAATCTTTAAAAACGTTAAATTTTGTGACTTTAAATGATTTAACTTAAGCTACATATTCCAAAGAACAACGACATGCATCTTCGCCCGTGCATTCAGCCACTTCCAGTGAGTTGCTTACTAGATTTTTGTTTTACCTTCATTTAAATTACATCTCAATCTTCACTTCACTTTTGTTTGTTAAATAAGCAACCTCAACAGTCAGTTGGTTGATTGGCGATGGGCAGCAATTTCACGCATCGTTAATGCTCTTTCCAAGCTCTGTTGATTTGTTTCTCTTTTCATTTGCTACCCATCTCGAATGCATTGCATTTTACGACTCAACAATATTATTTACTTAATTTCTATATGAATGCAGCTGATCATTTGCTTCTGGAGAGCATGATTCTCATAATAAGCAATTAGTAGTCAATTAAATGTATAGCTTGGCAAGCTTGACTTGTATAACTTTCGATTTTTGTGGTCAATTCGTCATTTTTATTAAGTAGTATGGTCAGGCAGGCTTCAAACAAGCTACGAGCTAACAAATCAATAACCTCAAACTCAAGACGAATGACATTGACATTCAAATAAAAATATGTATAGCAAGTAAGAGTCAAAAAGCTAATTTGACTAAAAAACATAAATGATTTATGAATGTTTTAAACGAAAATGAGTCAGGCGCTAGTGACTTAATAATTTGCAATGACTCGAAGCTCGAAAAATTTACATAAAGTTGAATGTTGTTTGTATTTTAAGACGAAACTCTCATAATTTGCTATTTTAATGGAGCACTCATTTATTTTACGAGAGAGTTCATTGCAAATATTTGCTGACTTCTTTTGTTTTGAGCACATACTCATGTGCAATTCGCGAATCTTTATTAATTATGCAACAGTTTTTAAATATGGAATAATTTAAAGTTTTTATAGAATCGTTTACTGATTGAAAAATTCCATTAAATTAAGTTTTATAGGCTATTCAAGATCGCTTTATAGGCAACAAAAATATTTTTAAGTGAAATTATTGAGTCAGCTAGCATTCTTTGAGGCTTAATTGATGAGTTTATTAATAAATTTGTCATGTGATTTAATTCTTGGTGATTATTAAATTGTAAGAAACTTTAAAACGTTGCAAGAAAAAATTTTCCACCTCGAATGTTTATGATTGAATTTTGAGCTTTTTGGAATCTTAATTTTTAATGTTCTATGTCCAAATGGTTCTAAATCTTTGAGCAAAAGGTTTTTTAATACAAATTAAAGTTTTAAAGTCAAGAATTTATGAGATTTAGAACATTTAAAATATATTTCGACATTTAAGATGTAAACAACAATTGAGATCAATGAACTTTAACGTAGGATTGTGAATTTAATAACTTTTATTTGATTACAATTTGAAATGAATTTCAGTTGCATTCATTTTGATGAAATTCATATAGATCATCGATTTCAATGAATAATTTATATCGATTCGAATGAATCAAGTTGAATCGTTCAAATTGATTCGAGTTTTAAACAGTAAATCGCACTTAACAACTCAATAATGCTTTAATTTCAATTTTCGATTTCAAAATTAATTTGTAAACAAATATTATTGAAAAAAAAACGATTTTCTGAATCTTTTGTTTTTCAAACAATTCTTTCAAAAACTGAATATTAATGTCAACTTACTTCTAAAACATTCACTAAAGTGCTGAGCATCAATTCCTGTAAATTTTACAATTCAAATTTCTTAAAATTTTACACTTCAATATTTCAACTACTTTATTTGCTCATAAAATGCTTACTATGACTAAACCTATAAATTTAACGTTTGCATAAGTTAATCGAAATACAATATTGCAGAACCGAATGGATTATTATTACTTTTGCTCTAATTAAATTCTACTGATCAAGGTTAATTAATCATGAGCATTGAAATTAATTTTTCTGTCATTTTGTCGCAGATTTATATTGTTGAATGAGACACACAGACATAAATATCATATGGACGAAATATTTCCTTTTTTAAATTCTCAATAATTGCTTTTTTAAAGAGATGAGAAATAAATTTTATAGAATAAAGTCTCTTTTATTTTCGTAAATGGCATTATGGATGGAAAAGAAGCTCGCACGTCTCATGGATGACCCTAAATGGCATTGATGTATTTAATTTATATATTTTGATAGTATAACTACTTTATGGAAACAATTAATTGTCGACCACTCCATATTCTTCATTGTCTTCCACGACCTTCCTTGTTTAGGCGCCACATACCAACAACATCTGTTAAATCGATACAATTCATCCACAATTATTTAATATTTTTGCATAAACATCCTCAAATTTTTTGTGTTTGACGATAGTCAAAATTGACACTGTTTGTGAAGTTTAAATTGAATTGTGGATGTTTGTCATGTTGTGTGCTTCCTTTATATGATTATTATTGTTTCTTTTCTTCTTTGTTTTAGCGGCAGTGTGCTAGCAGAATGTCAAGCTTTGCTCTATATTGTGAGTTTTATTGGATTTCTTCGTAAAATTTTCAAATATTTTTCAACCGTTATTTTTTAAAAGTTTCGTCTAGATTCTATTTTTTGGACTTTTATAAATTGAAGACTCATTATAAGCCACAAGCTACTTCAACTTAGTGACTTATGACTTCTCACACCAAACAAAAATTATCAGATCAGCCTTTGGCTCACTCTGATTTATTTATCAATAATTTTAAGTATGTGTTACGAATAAACAGCCATAATATCGTGAATCTATCCTCAATTCTCCCCTATTCTATTCCATTGCATTGTATTTATTATTATTTCTGATAGGAAAGGCAAGAATTTATGCCAATGAATGCCAGGATAATGAATTAAGTTAAAACATTGGGAGCATTTCATTCCTTTGTTTCTGGCACGATCGAAAATATTAGATTACGAAATAAGCACCAAATGGAATCAAATTCTTTTTTTGTGAGAAAATTGCGTGCCAAAATGTAATCAAGAACTGGCAAAAAAAATATAATATTTATTTAACGGTACCCTCATGATTCTCAGTAAGAGATCAGCATAAATTCTCTGAAATTTGAAGAGTCATGGGAAACCCAAAAATTCTGTCACACCATCTATTTGAGCACACGTTTACGCAAAAGACACTTTTTCTTTCTCATTCATCCAATTTATTCATTCATGTTCCATGAATTTGCAGAATCATAAAAAGAAATAAAAATGTTCGCATGCCTCAAAAATTTTCTTTTTCTAGGTTTGTCGATTTTTCTTTTCTTTTTTTTTCTTTTTTTAAGAAAAATTAGTCACACTGATACAGTATTGTACTGTAAGGTATAATAAATAATAAAACTCAATTCCCATTAGAAATGACTTCATGTTATTTATATAGTCAACTCTCGAGTTATTGCACACATTATCACAGAAATTTTATTATTTTCGCTGAACTTTTTAAGGAGGGTCTCACTTTTTATGGGGTATGAAAAATATTATCATCGAGTTGAACAGATGATTTGGGAATTAATTTATTAACGGCTGGAAAGTTTTTGAATTTTATTTCGAACTTTTTTGTGATTATTTCAAGAATTTTTTCTTTTTCCAACAAAACAAAGCCTAATAAAATCTTTTACATGATTTAAATGTTATTGATAAGTTGTAGGTCATTTAAGCTATGAGTTTATCAATATTAATGTTCAATTTGAGGTCATTTTAAGCTAAATTTTGAAGATTTTCAATTTGGAAATTTTTGTCAACATTGCGATTTTCGAAGAAAAGTTCTAGATTTTTTGAAAATTCGGAAACTGTTAAAATTTAAATTTTGAAAATTCGTTAAATTTTATTTTGCTTAATAAGACATTCCAGCACAATTCTGCAGCAAATAAAACATTCCATATGTCTACATACAACAAAAACAGACCACAAAATAAATCATTATCTAACATGCTGTCCAATTTCGAATAGACCTCTAAATACGCACTCAGAACAACATCAATTCCAATTCCAAATGTACAATAAATTTTGTCACATTTTTCGGGTTTTAAACTTTTTAATAAAAAGAAGAAATAAAAATGCGGTTTTTAAAAAAAGTTAAGTTGACCTCGCCAGAGAGTAACCATAATTCAGGAAGTTTGCATGTCTTTTGAAAGTTTTTTTTTTAATATTCCGTCAAATATAATAAAATTTATATCTAATGTCAAACGGAAATCTTGTCTGTCGAGTGAGACACAATTATATTCTATTACTCACATTTTATTATTATTAACTTTATGATTATCAGCAGTTGATGAGATAATGAACTTATTAAATCATTTATTATTTATTTATTTAAAAAATCCACACAAACGCACTATAATTCACTTCTTATCAGTTCACAAATAAAATTCTATTTTTTCTAATTTTCCTTCCGTCTCTCGACTTCTTTTTCGACTTTTTTTGACTTCTTTCTATCTTATTGAATTATTCACACTTTGCGATAAGACATGAAAAATTTTCACACTTTTCAGTCGTGGACAGGAAAATTCATGCACTTTTGGATATGATTTTGACACAGTCGATTGACACAAAGCTTCACAGCTAGTTTTTTGTGCAAATTTCTCAATAATTTGCAATAAAAATGAACTCAAAAAATAAGAAAAAATTATATGCGGAAAAATTGGGATGATTTTTCCATGAAAAACACAAAAAACATTGAGAAAATGAGAAAAAATAACAACAAAAATTTCTCACATGCGCTTTGAATACTTGCAATACGGGCGAGATACTACAGAAAACTGAATGAGAGACGTCTATGTGATTTTGTTTTATACATAACACTTTTTTTTCGTTCCTCGACTACATGTGCTCGCCGGAGAGTGAGAGATTCTCTTGGGAGACTTAAGAGAATTTATGCTGATTTTATGCTTCTCGCTCTTTTTTCTTGCTTTATTTTGGAGTTCTTTAAATTGATTTTAATTATTTATTGACGATTGTTTCATAATTTTTGGTATTACAGCATTTTAAAGCTAAACGTGCAGCATTAATGAAGTTCTTATCAATAATTTGATTACTAAAGTCACGTTTTAGGAGCTATTTTACGAAAATAAAATAACGGTTTTTTTAAATTTACACGAACTTCGAACTTTCGAAATCAAGTTTTTGAAGCAAGTTGAGAATCTCAAACTACATAAAACGCATTTCCTTAAAATAAATTCATTTTCATATCCAAGAACAATCTACAGCATCTCCCTACTTGAAAACTTATTTAACTATAACAAACAAACTCCAATGTTTCAAATCAACTCAAAAAATATATTTAAAAGAAAAAACTTTGACAGACAGACAAAGTGAAGTACACGCGAAGTTTACCTCATAAATAATTGACGAAAAAAAGTAAACAATCACATTGTTACAAAAAAAGTGAAATTAATTAATAAATCATGGCAGGAATACTATTTGAGGATATTTTTAATGTCAAGGATATGGATCCAGAGGGAAAGAAGTTTGACAGAGTGTCCAGACTGCATTGTGAATCAGAATCTTTTAAAATGGACCTCATTTTGGACAGTAAGTGCTGCTTTATAAGCGGTTTATAAGGCAAATGTATTAATTAGACATCATTACAGTAAATACATGGATTTATCCGATGGAACTTGGTGACAAATTTCGATTAGTTCTGGCTACAACACTACAAGAAGATGGAAGACCTGGTTAATATCAAATAAACAGTAATTAATCTATAAAACGTGACTAATTCCTCTCTTTTAACATTTTAGCAAGTCAAGAATATCTAGCGAGTGAAATTGATGGATCCAGAGCTGACAGTTTTGAGTATGTCATGTTTGGACAAGTCTACAGAATAGAAGGAGACGAAACAGAAGCATCAAGTCGATTGTCAGCATTCGTATCGTTTGGTGGACTTCTAATGAGATTACAAGGTGATGCAAACAATCTCCACGGCTTCGAAATTGACCAAAAAATCTATCTCTTAATGAAAAAATTGGCATTTTAATTTCTATTCCTTAATAAACAAGAATTTTTATTTTTAACCGTGTCCAAAATTGTTTAAAATAGAGGGTTTCCTTCATATCGATCGAATTTTGATCTTAATTTGAAATTATCCTCTTCTGAGGAGTGCATAATTATGATATACATCCAGACATCTAGGGAAAATAGGAAGGAGATAGTCAAGAATCCAACTATCCAGCAGATGAAACTGAAAAGGATATTGTTGATTTTTTTTACAGATTAACGACTTATTTTAATTTTGCACTTGTGACGATAGACCTCGACATAAAGTCTACTTTCCTCTAAACGAAATGATATAAATCGAGTAATCAAGTACGAGTGATTTAAATCTGCTTTCTTAATAACTTTATCAAGTGCGGGATTACAATTTGTAAGTTGTGATTATATTCCTGTTTAAATGGAATATTATAGTCTTAAGTGCTAAATATAATCCATGAAATAGTAGATAAAACCTACAAAACGTGGGAAAAATGCGTCCACTATGAGCAAACATTCGCAAAGATAGAAAGAAGCCATGTCAAATGGTTAAAGGTGAAATGAGGGATGAATCGCATAATGGTCACGACAGACATTCTGTCTAAAAGCGTTAGAGGTATGACAAATTCAGGAAGTTTTAAAGATAAGGTAAATTTAATGATTTAACGTTGCTAGCTGACAATCATAAATTTCAAACCCAAAAAAACCGTTAATGTTCCAATTTTTGAAAATCGTTAAAAATCAATAAAACGTTTAAGTTAAGAAAATCTCACTTACCACTGTTTGAATGACAATTCCTTCTGATGATCACTAGAAGACATAACAACAACGTTTCCTTTGTTTTTCTTTAAATGGTTCCTTTATTAAAAATGTGTTTCCTCTGAATTTTTCATCAAAATATTTTCATTATCAGAAGAAATTTCAATGTAATGTCTAAAAAATAATGCAATTATATAAATATTAAACATGATCATCGAATAAGAGATAGTTTCTGATATTTTAACTAAAGAAACTTGTTGAAAAATTATAAGCTAAAAGAAGGTTTTTATTGATTGACGGTAAAAAAACATGTTGAAGACAGAAAGGAAGGAGGAAAAACCTTAAAAGTTACAAAAATTCTTAATAAGTCAATAAATTTCTTCTCAAAAGACTTTTCTTAGTGATGTGCCTTGCTATTTTATATTTTTAAATTCTTCTTTAAAAAGAGCATTTACAAAAGAATAAAATGGGCGATAATAAGCAGAAGTTCTCAATTACCTGATGTAATTCCAAGTTTTTTTTTTTGTGAATCGATTGATTTTCTTGATCGTCGATAATTTATATATATTTTTTTTTCAAAGCTTATTTTAATTCATTCAACATATTGCCAAATTCAAATAATTGTTTAAATTGATACTTGACATTTCTTTTTCCTCTTTTCATATAAATGTAAGGTATATATTCTGTTTGTTTTTTTAATTTCCTTTCGAGAAGAGGATAGAGCAAAAATTGTGTTTATTCTTCAGATTATAATTATTAATTATTACGCTTTTCTTCATCAGTTACTTCTTGTATTTAGAAAAAAAATTGATTATTCTATTCTTCCTGACTTTTACGAACGCAACGTGCTACTCGTCTTTTAAATTCCGGATAGGATTCTCGCCATTGTTTAGCTGCATCTACATTAGCTGGTGACTCGTCATTCGGCTCAGCCAACATTGAAATTACTGAAATAATAATTGTCTCGACTGTGTGCACAGGAAGCCAACGTTCAGAAGCTTTTTCATATCCCCACTTATCATCACCTGGCTCGTGAAGGATGCTTATACAAACTGAAAGTGTAATTAAGGGAGAGAATATTGAGGATTACTATGCTTAAGCAGGCAATTCAATGATTAATCTTCATTACTATATGCTCTCAAATATCAATCACGACAATCAAAGTACAAAACTGAATCTCCAGAAAAAGAATTAAACCAAATTTGAATGATTCATGGATATTTCAGCTTCAATTAACCGCAACTGACATTCAGTTCAATTTAAAAGAGAGCAAATTCAAATACAGTGCATTACAACTATCCAAATTGGTGTCTTCAAAAGTTTCTCAAATCTTAAGGTAAGAATCATTTTACTGTGCAGATCCATCAACATTTAAAGATTCAGCATTAATGTGCGACAGAAAATATTTAAAGTTTAAGGGATACTAAAGATTGAAGTTGTTCATAGACTTTTAAAGCTTACGACCGAAATCATTGGGTTCGATTTCTGTTAAAAGCTGCTTAATTTAAGCATGAATCAAGGAGTGTTCGAACAAAAAAAATCAGCACTCCGTGAGTTACCAATTTCACGTCATTTCTAAATGCTCTCTAGCATAGCTTTTATATCGAGTTTTAATCATTAAGAGAACTTGATTCCTTTTATCTAAATTGCGAATCTTAAACAAACGTGCAAAAATCAACTTGCTATGTTTACTCGAGTACGACTAAATGAGTATGAGGACAAAGAGATGATTGAACCAGATTGAACTTGGATGGAAACAATGTCTGGAGTGACAAGAATAAAATCTCATTTGATAGCAGGATATTGTATATAAGGACTTGATTGGATTCTAAGCATCGAGACAGCAATGTTTAGATGCAGAGACATTTGAAATCCTTGGAATCGAAGCTGATCCAGAGATAAAAAGCATTAAAAGATTACTTACCATCTCCGTTTTGATCGATATTAGGATGCCAAATTTCTGTTACAAAGCGCATTCTGGGAGGTCGTAATGGATATTCTTTTGGGAAGTAAAGATGAGCTATAAAGTGAGAAATGATTTAAAATTACAGGTCAGACAATTGAAAATAGTAAATAAGTGATATGCTGATTATTACCTTTGAAGAATCCGCCTTCATAGAGAGTGTCTGTATGTATGTAAACCAATAAATGGAATAAAAATAAAAAGGAAGGAGAAATAGAGAACGTGAAATTTTCATGAGAAGAGAAAATGTGAGAAGGAAGGAAGACAAAACATCAAGAAGACATTAAAATATGAGGAAAAAATGTGCAAGTATTGAATTAAAAAATGAACTGGACTAACCTGGCGGTCCAATAATCAGCACTTCCCATTTAAAAATGTCATTATCATCGACGAGACCTGCTGAGAATCCTATAAACACATAGATAAAAACGAAATCAGTATAATCAACCTTAAAATTATATGCATATTAATTAATAATATACATTTAAGCATTAGCCATAACTAGCATATAATGCTTATATTTTTCATGTTATTTCATACCTTCTACTGGATGCTTATTGAGCTCTGATAATTGTTTTTTTAAGAGCAGTGAAGCAGTTGTATCCATTTGATAGCAAATGAGAAATAAATCAGATGTCTATATTTGTCTTTTAAGCGTATCCACAATTGCTTTCTAGTCTATAATCCAAAGATGCTTCTATAATGGACGACGTCTTGGTTAATATTATTAATTCAAGTATTATTTAAAGCATTTTTTCCAAAAACTTACCAATTCACTGCGTTTTTCTTCGAAAAGAGAACAATGGAAATTTTCAACAACGAAATTCTCTTAATCCTGACAATTTTATGATCAATTTCAAATAATGCAGACTTTAGAAGTAATAAAATCAATGATTAAGCACTAATTCAAGTGATATACAGCCTTTAAACACAGAAAATTTAAATTTAATCCAAAATCTTTTAAATTGACAAAGCCATTCAAATGTTTTAAAATTCAAATTTATTTTGACAGTTTTTTATTTTAATGTTTTATTTGTTAAATTAACTTTTAAGCACTTTTACCTGCATACTCTATATTATGATTACAGGTGCAAAGGAAGCAAAAAGTCTCATAGAAGGAACAGAACAATTACAGACAAATATTGAAACTTTTAACACCAAGTCAAATATCCAGCATAAGATACAGAATCACATTAGTGACTGACTAAGGACAGACCGTGTGTGGATGAGACCAAAATAAAAGCGTGTAGAAATAAATTAATTACAGAATGAATAACTATCTAAAGAGACGATTATCTCAACTCAGTGGATATATTAATCAAGCAACAAGACCAGTCAAAAGTGCTGGATATAACAGGATGTCAGTCGTGAGAACGCCTCAAAATTTAATTCATAAAGATAACAACATGAAATTTAAGTCATTCTATCGAAATTCATCCACGGAATCTATGAAAAGATATCAAAACTTACTTCCAAAGTCTGTGACATCAAATCAATTAATTAAAGGTATATCCCATGAAGCAGCTCTATCAACACCAAAGAAGAGAATTTCATTCCGGAAGCGTAGAAGTGAACATCATGAACAGCTAGTCCAAAATGGATATTTCAATATCACAGCATTTGCCACAGCTGAAGAGTATGACCTAGAGAAATTATTGATTGCCCTAAAAGCACAGGATTTATATGAGCCACAAAGATTCTTCAATTCTGACGATTCTGCTGTAAATGAGCCGGATGTTCTATATGCTGTAGCTAAATATCAAGTTGGAAAGGAACCTCGAGACATATTCTTCTTTCGTGAAGGAACTGTCATCATGTGGAACTTCTCAGACATGGAAAGTTCAAACATACTAGCATTTCTCAAGAACTACGAGCAAGTAAGTGACATCCAGTGACTAGATATACATTTTTATAACAATTAATTTACTTCTAGGACAGCTACGAAGACAATATTGTACTAGACGAGATGGAGCTCATGTTCTATAATTATGCTAAAGAGAATCAGTCAGCAATATTAAAGAATGGAAACTTTTATGTATCAAAGACAGATGATCACAATTCCCTTGAAAAGTATACGTATTCTAATGCATTGTCATTGTCAGTTAAGTTGGGTATTTGGGAAGCTACACTTGATAGATATATCGACTCAATGGCATACATAACTGAAGACTTGAAGCAAGGCAAGAAGATCCAAATCACACATGCTGAAATGCTCAGAAAAACTGGCGAATTATTTGCTCTTCGGCATTTAATTAATTTAAGTTCTGATCTGCTTGATACTCCAGACTTTTATTGGGATCGTGAACAATTGGAAAATTTATATTCACAAACATACAATCATTTTAACATATCCAAAAGAACAAGAGTTATGAATGAGAAGCTAAATCATTGTGTGGAACTTGCTGATCTAGTGACATCAAATCTTAATGACATCCATCATGTACGATTAGAGAAAATTATTATTTACCTTATCATGATAGAAGTGCTTTTTGAATTCATACATTATGCTGAAAGATATTATGGAGCCTAAGCTTAGCTTTTTCGTGATGGACTCAAGGAATGATTTTTTGTGAATAGTAATTTAGAGGACTTTTGAGGGAGGTCGGACTGGATCAGTTCTTACCATTGGAATTAATAAAGTAAAATATTTTTTAACGGTTCTCAAAAATTGAAACTTTAACGGTTTTCAAAATTTTGAATATTTTCATTGCTTTCAAAATGTTGGCTTTTAAACCGTGGGATTTAATTAAACCTTGAGATTTATAATTTATTGATCCAATTCTGTTGGATCAATTTTTATTGGAATTTCCAGAAACATTCTCTCCCTCAAGAGTCAGTCGCCTTGACAATGAATGAATGGTGTATAAAAATAGATATAGACATGTGAAAAAATAAAATGACTTAAATGAATTAATTTTGAAATTAGTTTCTTGTTTATATATCTCAATACAAAAAATAGATGTATTATTCTTGTATCTATATGCATGGTGGAACAGAAAATAGGCAAAATATATACTGGGGATCCTCGATTTGAATAGATTTGATTTGAACATGATTTTTCTGGAACAAAACACCCATTCAAATTGAGAACTTCCAGTAAATAATGAGTTTTACAAGTACAATAATAATATGTAGGTAGTAAATAATAATAATAATATTATTAAAAACATTTATGCCACTGTGATGTTGTTAAAGTTTTTCATAGCTTCCTCCAGTGCACTCTTTTGCTGGTCATTAATCATTTGTATGCATGCATTAAACACTTCTACGTTTGACTGAATTTGTTTTACAATGTTGAGCATACGTCCAGCTACGTCGTTATTTCGTTGAACATATTCTAATCGCATGTTATCGATATTCTCATTTGTTGGAGTTATGATCTGAATTACTCCGTGATAGAAAGCATCGCCAATCAGGGCAACAATGCGAGGTAAATTGCTATTATTATTTCCCAAAATAATCGGATGATTTGACTGAATCAAATCACACAAGTATCCATAGATGTGCGGTGCTTCTTCGTCGTCTTCCGTTACTGGTAAACTTTGGAACCTAAATTAATACAGACATAATCAATTAGTCACTGCGGTTTATAATTATACATTTCTCTGATTAACAGATAGATTGTCAGAAAAGATTAAGCCATATGATATTGTGTCAGCAAAGTGCTTTATGACGAATATATCGAATCATCATTCAAGATTCAAGTCTTTTAACGTATTTATGTGCAAGATTAGTCACGAGAAAATAACGGATATTTGAAATTCAAAATTTAATACCAAAAATAATTTCAAATCACAAAAATACGATAAAAAGTAATAAGGAACAGGAAAGTCACTCACCATATATTGACGATTTCATCAGCGTTAGTAATGGCAGAACTATTATATTTCAGGATTTTAGCAATTGCTGAGATGGCGTTCTCCGTAACAGTCATATTTTCAGGTTCTCTCGCATTTGTAGCCATCACAGCTTCTACTAATATTGGCATTGCGACTGAGCATGTTTGGGCGAATTGATCACCACCGTGCTGTGCAAGTATTCCACATCCATACATAGCTGCTTGACGAACTTCTGGTTGTTTATCTTTACAATATTGAATCATCGATTGAAGGAAAAATTGTTGATACTTTGCACATTGTGGACCGCAAAATTCTGTGGAAATGCAAAATCACTCTTTGAGTCATGATTGTAATAAACAAAATAGACTAATATTTAAGTTTCATGAATTTGTGTCAGAAAAGGTTAAGCATATACATAAGTCATCAAAATAATAATTATGTAAAATGTATATATCATCATAAATGGAACCAACTAATTAGTAGTAAGCAATTAGATTGTGTCGATAACTTACCGATAACGTCATCGAATATGCAAAGTGCCCATTGACGATCAGACCAAGACGGTCTAGCTGGATCTAATAGTTTAATAAAGTGTGGTGCAACTTGATCGAAATAAGGCATAAATAAGACTTTTTGAATGGAAAACAAGGAATGAATAATGTCTGCAATACGTGATAAGAGATAAACATCTGTTTCATCCTCCTCGGCTAATTGCTCTTCGACAGCTTCATCGTAATCTTCTTCGTTTCTTGCTTGAGCTCTTTTATCTGCTTTCTCAAAGTGTTCATTCATAAATCTATTAATAATCTTTAAAACTTCATCCATTGCCTCGGCCGATAAACAATTGGAACCGAGTGTTTCTATACATTTAGCGAGAGATGCGAGTAATTCAGCAATAACTTCAGCTTCTGGTTCCGTTTCGATTGCTTTCAATAATTCTGGACAAATGTAGGCCCACATATTTTCGAGATATTGTTGTCCCTTGATTTTAGCACAAATTAATAAATATGGCAGCGATTCAGCAGCTGCACGTCGTACACCATCGTGGAAATAAAACTTGAACATTGGTACCATTAATCTGACGACTTCTTCTGCATAGTTGGCAAAGCCTTCCTTTAATTCGCGTGCATAACAAACGAGCATTTCACAGGCTGCAGCTTTATCTTCCAATCCAGCTGTTCGAATTCCAAAGTTTTGTTGATCACTCAAATTAACAAATTGCCAATCTGGATCTGATTCAACATCCTGAATCTCATCATTGTCTAAAACAGCAACTTCTGGTTTCATTGCTGCTGTCTTCATTACAGGTCCCATAACGAGCGGTAAATATTGTTCAAATTGCTTGCCAAGAATCTTACAGATACGTGCCCATGCTGAAATCAAGTATGTTGTTTGTGGATCATCGTCAGGTAAATTTCCCTCAGTATGAGTTTTCAACAGCATATCCATAATTTCACTTGCATCAGCCATAAACTTTTCAGCACCGACCGCAAGACCGATCAAACTTACACATTCAATCGTCTTTCCACGAAGCATTTTTAATTCATCCGTATTTGCGTTCGCAATTATGTATTTTAAACACGGCATCAATTGATCATAATAGACAATGAATTCTTTTTCTGTTGTATCTGCGACACTCGCGATTGTTGTAACTACCTGTTCCAAAACTAATTTCGTACCTTTCTCGACCAATTCGTTGAATTTTGTATTTAAAATTGCTCCCAATTTATTCATGATTCCATCAAGATAGCGTGTTAAAATGGTTTTTGGACAGTCCTCGCTAAAATTGACGAGTGCAGCACCAGCATGAGCTTGTACGCGTGGATTTGCATGATCTTCCAAGAGATTTAAAAGGCCTGGGATAACTTGAGCGTGAAATTTCTTCTCAAATGTTGGTGCAAAATCTGTGCACATTTGTCCGATAGCATTACAAGCAGCATAACGAACACGTGGATGTGAATCTGCTAAATATTTGAGTGTTCCTTCTGTGACACTATCTAACATTGTTTCCATTTGCTTATGACATCCTTCACCAGCAGCACTAATTGCCATCAATGCAGCATGTCGATACTTCCAATCTGGATTATTCAACATTGTTGGAATGTTTTGAATGACATGAGGCAAAATAGCTTTTCCACCGAGTCCACAAGCTAACCTATCAAGTGCTGATTCGGCAATAACATTATTCTCTCCAGTATCATCTTCTTCTATCTCATCAGATACGGACCAATCTTCGTCGTCGTCATCTAGTTCTGTCATCATTTTCAATACAAGTGGAACTAATGCAGCAATATACTTTTCAGCCTTTTTCCTAACCATTGCTGAAGCATTTTCCGAGAGTGATACCATCACTTCCAATGCTAAATGTCTCCAACTGTCTTCGACATCTTCACTTCTAAATACATTAATACACATTTCGAAAATTGATTCAAGCTGTGGACGTAAATATTTTGGGACAGTTTCAGACATGTCAATAAGTAATTTGATAAGAGTTTGATCGTCTTCCTCCTTAATTGAATCGGCTGTTATCATAATGACATGTGGAAGTAAGTCAGAAAAGGACTTTTGTATTTCAACTTCCTTATCATTTAATAAGATGAATGCAACGACAGCACGAACAGCTTGGAATCGTACATCAGCATTTGACGATGGATCTAAATATTTCAACAACATTTCCTTAATAATTTGCAAAAAGTGATTCTGTTGGTTTCCAAAAATGCCTGGAACTGACGCAAAAATACGTAGCGCTGATTCTTGTAAAAGGACATTCGGGGAACTAGCACATTGAAATAGAAGCTGTAGAATCTCTTGCCATTGATTATTTCCGTCATCATCGATGAGATTTCTAGCGACTTCAGCCACAACTTCACAAATTTTTCTCCTCAAATTGGCACTAACATCTTGCTGTAACAGCAAAAGTACTTGCTGCTTTAATTCAGTTTGTTGTTCCACAGGTAGCTATAGAAAACAATCATTTTAATTATAGTGAATCGTTCAGCACATCAATGATATGTTAATTAATGGTTGGAGCTGGATATTTAAATACATACCTTTGGATAGAAATCTTGGAAATCCGATGAGAATACCCTTCGCAACAAAACTGCAGCCATAAGCCTCGATTCCTCGTGAACTGTAGCATTTTGGATAGCACGTAACAAAAGAGTCACTTTAACTTCCGTTGTTAGATTATTATAGGTTTCCTGTAAATTACAATAGAATAGAATAGAATGACGCTTGCTGATTCTACCGAGAATTTGGAGGGAAAAAAATAAAGGAACTGGATGTTCTTGTGAAATTCCTTTAGATCCAGAAATTCCAATAGACAATCATAAAGTGCTCTAATTCATCTATGAATCATCGCAAAATGTACATTTTCTTCTTTTTCGTCACAATGAAAGATTTCGGAAGCACATTTTTCCTTCGTTTCATCAATGCACATTTTTTATCGATTTTTTTAAATGAATTTTTTTCGAGACGCACTTTCTACATTCCATTAATTATATTTACCTCAGCCTGCGATCGAGCATCGTTGTCAATAGAGAGGAGAGAATTAAGCAAATTTGAAAATTGTGTGTCGTCAGCCATGAAAAGAATTAAACATGAAAAATTTCCTACTAAATGTTTTCTTTTTCGCACTAGTGTTTTAACCTAAATTTAGCTTTATTTTGAGTCACTTTTCTCTTACTCTATCTTTCTTTTGTCTCTTTGTCACGCCCAGTTTATTTTTACAACTGTTCTTCTCAACTGATTTTTGTCAAATGACTTGTCAATTATGACTCGTATAAACTACAATACTGTCGAATTATACTCTAGAGAGCTACGAATGTGATTTAAAAGGCGCTTCAAATGACTGTATTATAAACTCTCAAACTCATTTGAACTGAACTGAAACGAACTTGACTTACTGAACAGAAATAATAATTTGAACTTAAATTGACAGTTAAAATTAAACAACTTTTATTATTAGGTTTCTCTTAAGTCTAATAAGCGAACATGTGATTTTATCTTAAAAGCATTCTTTGTTGTTTGGTTGTTTTTTTATCGTCTACAAAAATAATTTATAATTATGTTATATTTATGCTCTATTATGACGTGGATGATGATGATGATAATGGTATTACCGAGAGCTTATCGAATGTGTGAAAATAAATCTTTTCTTCGTGATAGGTTCTTAGGATAAACTGGAGTAAACTCTGGCTTTCTAAATCATTAAAGAATATATTCAACGATGAATAATTTTCAAGAAGCGAACAATATGCTATGAAGAATTTTGGGGAACTTAGACTAAATTGTATTTGGGGTGTGCTGAGGAGAATCTTAAGGATATGTGATTCTACAAATATTGACTCACGAAGCGCATTTAAATTTTGTGGATTTGAACTATGTTCTAAAAGCCATTCACATGCTGCCGTTGACTGATTATTGCTCAGATCGAATGCTTGTTGGACTTCTTCCATTTCGAATCCCATGTTTATCAGACTATTCATTGTATCAGCTTTTGTGGATGGCTCCTCATTCTTTTCACTATAATATCGAACGATTTCTAAAAGTCCTTCAACTCGATCTTTAATGGTCTTTATCATCATTATTATTATTTTTTTTTTTTTTGGGTACAGGAAGCATGAAAAGAAGATGAGAAAAGATGGAAAAATCAATATTTTAAAGATTAAAATGTTCATGTTTGTTAATCCTTCGAGATTAATGTTGGATCAACTGTTATGACAGGGGATTGTACGTATTTGTACTTTTCAGCATTCCTTACTCAACTTTTAACGTTTTTTTCATAGTTCGAATTTCAACGGTTGTCAAAAATTTAAACTTGTCAAAAAATTTGCAGCATAAATTTCGAATTTTTAAAAATTCAAACTTGTCAAAAAATTTGCAGCATAAATTTCGAATTTTTAAAAATTCAAACTTGTCAAAAAATTTGCAGCATAAATTTCGAATTTTTATCGTCCGTTAAAAATCGTCCCGATATTTTCAGACAATCCCGTGCCAATTCAATATAAAATGTATGTACTTACAACTGCTTTGTGCTTAGGATAAAAGATGGAACTTGTAGAAGGGAATGTGCTACTATAAAATTTCTTATAAACATTTTCATTAATATCTTCATTTGTGTCATTTGACGACGTTGTCTCACATGGAGCTTCTATTTGATTTGATTGTCCTTCATCCTTCGTAATATTTTCAACGAGCCAATCGAGTGCCGATGCATAATTGTTTCCTTGAATTTTTAATGCACGTTTGACATCGTTATGACTAAAGCCCATATCTATTAAAAGTTTAACAATGTCATGATGATTATGAAGACTAAATAGGATTTTCTGACGATAATATTTAATTAATTTTTCAGCATACGGTAATGAGCCAATAATGTATGCTGAATATTTTGCAATTTCACTGAGAATCTTTCTGAGATCATGCTGCAAGTCACCTTGTAGGAATGCTGAATCTAATGACGTATTTAACGATGTCGATATTGATGATCTAATTAATGGTAAGTGCTTTGTTCGATTTAGAATTTCTTTTTCGCTTGGGCCATGACATGTTTGGACTGTAATTAATCGATTAAAATTTCCATCTGTCCTCTTTATCGAAAATATAAATTCTTCCATATTATGCACATTGCTTGTTAATATTGAATCATAGTCCTTAAAAGGCTGATTTGTACTTGATCTGACTAGACGAAACGAATGAATATCATTGGGAAAGGACCTCGATGGACTCAATTGTGTTGATTCTAATTTCTTCAATGCCTTCTCCTTAACTTGTAAACCAGAATCGAAATAAGATACATGAATAATAAAGACTTTGCCAAAGCGTGGAGTTATTATCCTTAAATACATTAATTCATTGGATGTTGAATCGTTATTGCTTTTTGTATCATCTTGCGACTCGTCCCGAGGCTTTCTAAAAATGATTTAAAAAAAAAACATAAAAAGGAGTTAGGATAGCTAAGCATAGACTGTGATTCATTTATTATTAAAATATCACAGTATGTGGTCATAAATAGTTTTTCCAATTTTCCACTTCCTTTAGTCGTTTGCATAATTCACAAAAAAAAACTCTTACATTTCTTCGTTTCTTGAACGTAACCAGCGCTGTTTCCTTAGAGCAAGTTTCTCTCTCAGCCATGGCAGCATTTTAAATCACATCTTTTACTAAATTATTAATTTTTTTGAGATCATTTGCGAGCTAAACTTAAAATAAAATTTACTTAAAAACTTTTGTAAACCTTTTATTGACGTTAGAGACACTGGCAGTTCCTGCACATAGCAAAAATGTTTTCTGTACTTTTTCTCCATTAAAAGATGAAAACTTCTTGTCCGTTATTTTTATTCCAAACCTTTTTATTATGATTTTCTCTCTTTTTTCTTTTGATGAGTACCTAGCAGCAACTTGGAATAGATTTTGAAGGCATTTGTTCCAAAAATCTTTAAAATTGAATGTCGATCAAATGCTGATCTAGTTTTTTGTTCATGTCCTTTAGTTTTAATGCCTGAATTTGAGCAGATTTGCTGACTTTTGCTGACCTTAAATGCATCCTAGATTGCTGCAAGAACCATTCCAAGTTACAGCTAGACATATATAGTACGTAACTTCCACAAAAAAGGAACAATAAATAAATAATCATTTAATATAAAAGAAACATTAAATTCTAATCCACACATTAGTTTATCTTATAGCTACATAAAACACCCCAAAATGCCAAGCATCTAAAGAGCAAACAAGGAAATTATTGAAGAAAATTGCAGTTCTTTTCACCGTGATAATCATGCATTTGTAAATTGGCAGTTCATGTAAACACAAAATCATTCTCAATTGGAAGATTCCAGCCACTTTTAAAGAACTCAAGTGGCAATGGAGTGCAATGAGAGCTTTTGTAGTCAAGCATGTGATTCTTTATCAAATAAAATGTCATCTGATTCCTTTGTTCCTCACTATAATCTTCTCCAATTTTTACTGGATATGAAGCTCCTTGCTCAGAGACATATGACATCAACAAAGATAAGCACATTTGGTCGTCGCCTGTCTTGGCTAAAAACAAAGATGTGAATTTGAATATTTGTGGTCAAAACGAGTAATTTAGGATACCTACAATGATCAATAGTTTTGTTGAGGATCTTCTGAGCATATTTGATCTGCTCTGGTTTAAAAATATTAGGAAATCTGAATTTAAGCAAATGAATCAGCAAGTAGTTTCCTCGATTCGTTCCCATATCTGTCTCCCTATAGTAAAAATGCCTAGTATAAAATATCAGCCAGTTAATTAAATATACAATCGCTTACTCAGTAGCAATAATTTCGTCTTCAGTTCTTCGTATCATTGAAACAGGCCCATTAAATTTGGTAATTAATTCAGTATGATTCAAGTTGCAGTAATCACGAATAGCAATTCGAACGATAGTTGAGAGACTTTCAGGCATTCGAGGTAGTGCTAATATAAGCAAATCATCAAAAGTAGCGTCTAAAACGATGCCTTTAACATTCGGATATTGACTGGCTAGCCATAATGTATTATAGGCACCTATCGACCAACCATACAACACGATATTTTCAGGCGCAAACCCTAAAGATTCAATTGCGAATTGTATAACTGCATCAGCAGCATTTTGTTCTTGTTTGGGGAACGGATCTCCGCTACTTCCTGCAAATCCTGCATGATTGAATCCTAAAACTGAATACTTCAATTCTATTGGAGTTACCATTATACCGATTTCGTAGAATCCAGCATTTCCTTCTGAACAAATGACTAGATTTTTACCATTATCAAATCTTGAATGACGATTATCAATAAACATTGTGTCTATAGTGTTTCCGTCAATCGTTTCAATCTTATTTCTTGTTCCTCTTTGTTCTAATACAAGCTTTGCACGACCTTGAACTAACATTTGATGAAGATATTTCTGTAATAATCCAATACTTCCAGGATAAATCATTTTTAAGCCAAAACTATGGATAGCTAAGAAAGCAATAATGCTACACGGTGAGATCCAGTTAACATTTAAGCGACTTGATGAAGTATTTGCGACCATCTTTGCATTATTTTCTTTTGTATTTAATGATTTCATAGTCCAATCGACAGGCCATTGATCAAATTCAAAATCATATGCGCGAATCTTCTTCTTGTTTAATGGATCTTTTGGATTTAACTGTGCTTCTTGCAAATCTTTCACAAACTTTCTGTACATTTGGCTTTGAGATCTTCCATATCCTCGTAGACAATAAGACAGGATGACAAATAGGCCGATTCCAGTTGAAACTTTGAGTAAGGAACCAAAATTCTCAGACACTAAATATCCTTTCTTATAAAAATAGAGCCCAATTATAGGACTTCCATATTTAAAAAGGCTAAACATTATTCCCCACTAAAATTAAAGATGTGTTGTCAGTAAATCAGCTATAAAGAAAGTCCTTAATACTTACGAAAGACACTAAACTGTCTCCTAACTTTTCAAATCCAACTTCTGAATAGATTGACTACAAATAAATTAAGGAAATTTTGCTGTTTTTCAGTTTCCCTGCTTTAATTGATGTTTACAGCAACTTACCGATAATGACGATCCATCAGTGTAGTCTTTAAACAGTCTTGGACTAAAGAAATATCTGTAGAAACTCATTATAATTAACTTTTCCTGCTTTAAACGAGAAAATTATTTTTTTCAATGATTTTCTGTATTTTGACGTCAATAAATAAATTTAAATCTTTTTGAGCCGTTATTTTTGAAAATGATTTAATTGAAAATGGATATTATAGTCATTAACAGCTAAAGAGTGTCATAAAGTTGAGAAAATGCATTAATTAATTTATTTTGTTGCTTTTTATTCCATGTGAAATATCAGTCATTGTTTTATTTTTGATTTTCAATGAAACACGTCTTTATGTTTTTGTTCGTGTTTTTCAACTGATTTCTTTATTTTCTCAGATTACTGAGATCATTATTTTACATCTCCCTTCTCTTATCAATTCCCATATCTTTGCACTGGTTTTGGAATTCTTGATGATCGTCGGAACTGGTCGGAACGTTTGTTGGTTCGAATTACTTTCCGTTGAGATTGCAGTTGTTTGGTGAGATACGGAAGATGCGGTATTTGCATCAGAATTCAGAGGAGGTTCATGCAGTGAGTTATCAGCGAAGAAGTTATAAAGATTGATTCTATATTGACTAGACTCATCGCATTTCTTTTGATCAATTTGATTGGATACTGTTGACCTATCAGTTTTGATAAATTTAGAGTTTCGTCTAATAACCCTATTACTATTTATACAAATTTCATATGATCTAGGCTCTGAACATTTCTTTACGATTGATCCTTTGGACCATGTTTTATTGGGCAATTGTACCCATACCTTTTGATTAACATCGAACTCATCACGTACATGGGCAATTCTTTGGATGACTTTTGAAAAATTTTCAGCAAAAAATCAAAATTTTATTGATTTTTCCCATCAGAGGCACTGATTTTATGATTCTTATCGATGTAAAAATCTAAAATGAACACTACTTTTGATATCATATACTTCTAATCGCTATATTAATTAAGTTATTTGGATTGTTCAGACAATAACTCGATGACAGAAATTGGAATTTTCAATTTTCATCATCCGAAGAATCGAAAATTAGTGAAAACTATTGATATCCACATTGAATAACTTTTACTAAGTTATAGATCAGGCAAAAATCTTTAATTAAGCTGCTTTTCCATATGCTGTAAGTCATTAATTATTGAAATATTTCAATTCTTTGAACAATTTCCTTGTGTCATCGAGTTATAATAAAGCTTTTTTTTGTCTTAATCCGTGAAAAAATACAAAATTTTCAAACATATTTTTTCAATTTTTCACTTAATTTGGGTGAGTTGTAACATTTCAATAGATCACTTGTAAAGATTTAATTATGCTTAACGATCTACGAAAATTCAGGCTTATTATTCCTTCGTAGTAATATGAAATTAAAGAAAACATTTTATTGACACAAAACTCATTGACATTGTGATTTAACTTAGGCTTTAGCAAGCTATCTTTCATAATGATTTTAGTCCTCATTCTTGTATTGAACAATGAAATAATGGGGCGAAATCGTGCGTGAAGAAGCCTTTGCGTTGCCATAACGGTAAATTTGCGGCGTGACGTGCTTTTTTCCACTTGATGGTGCCTTGACGTCGACGTAAAACCACTTGTTGTTGTTGGTGCTACTCGGGTTAGCGTCAGTTTGTTAATTTTTTGACTCATTATTGCAAAACACAAATGAATCCAGGCTTGAAAGAGAATTCAATGGCTTGAAAGAGAAAAATTCGTTAAAATTTGTCTCCAAACAAAATAAATTTAATTTTTAAGCCTTAAATTAGATCATTAGCTATCTTAGATCTAAAACATGCAAATTGGCACTGTTTTTGATAGGTAAAATATGTCAGGAAGTAGATTAAACTTAATTATTTTTTTGTTTTAACGGTTTTTTTGAATTTATCGAGTTGAGAAGAATTCTTAGTCGATTTTTGCAGTACCGTTTATTCATGGATTTGCCCATAACGAGAACTTGATGTCACTATGATAATGTCCCACTCAAGGGTAAAACTTTTACATTCAAATGAATTAAATGGCATGTTATCTGCAATAATAGTCTTTGGAAAGCCGTGTTCTGTAAAAATCTCAATAAATTTATGAATTATAGCGTTTGAATTTTTGGAACCTAAATATTTACAAGAAATCCATTTCGAAAAGTAATCCATAACAACGAGATAATTCTTGCCATTAAATTCAAGAATGTCACATCCAACTTTTTCAAATGCTCGAAGAGGAATCTCGTGTTGAATTATAGTGAAGGCCAATAAACTGATTCTTTGGCGAAACGCAGAGTTTTAGTAATTCCCATGGAACCTTCAAGAAGATCTTTAAGAACTTTATCTCTCAAGCGTTTTGATCCTATCTTACTAATATCTTTATTAATTATGCTTTCAAGAGGACGATGGTCAGAAACGACAGTAACTTTTCTACCATAAATATAATTGTGAAACTTTTTACATGCAAAAAAACGGCTAAAAATTCTTTTTCAATCTGGCCATACTCCTTTTCTGTATCTGACAGACAACGCGGAGCAAAGCTAATAATTTTACTTCCTTGTTTTAAACATGCCCCTAAACCGTATGACGAAGCATCAGTTTTTAAAATTATTGGCATATTTTCATCAAATGTTGTACATGACGTGACATTTTTTATTACTTCTTTAATGTTTTCAAACTCAGCTTGATGATTATAAAGCCATAAAAATTCACTGTCCTTTTTTAATAAATTACGTATATTTACTGTTAAAGAAGGTACATTGGGAATGAAATCCCTGATATAATTGACTACTCCTTAAAACTTCTGCACATCTTCTAGATTTTTAGGATTCGGAATATTGTTAATTGCTGAAATCCTTTCTGGATCAGCATCTACTTTATTCTCAGAAAATATATGGCCAAAGAATTTTACTGAGCTTTGTGTGAATTGTAATTTTTTCTGATTGAATTTTACACCTGACTTTAATGCCCTGACCATTAATCTTCCTAAATTCTCGTCATGTTCTTTAAGCTTCATTTTTACGAAGCTTCATTTTTCCAAACGAGTGCCTATTAAAATAACGAATTTCAGAAATTCGAAAGTTCATTTTTACGACCATATCATTTTTACAAAAAATTATTTTTTCGACTTTTTTATAAATTTCAAATTGAAAAATTTCGTTAATTTCATCACGTGTTTCCTTCAATAATAAATTTGCAAAAAAAGATTAATAGAACAAATGTTTTTAAATGTATGGAATTAAAACGTATTTTTTTTTTTCAATATCACATTTCATGGACTATATGTGTATGTTTAAAGGAGTAACAAACACAATTAAGCTCTTAAATCATTTTTGACTGCTGCAATAGCCTTTAATGTTTCAACTCGTGGCACGGATTGTCGACGGTTCAGGATTGATTTAATGGAATTCTCTGTCTTTTCAAAACCTGGCATTCTATGCTTTTGTGGCTTCCCAGCCAAATATTTGTCGATATCCATTTCGATGGACAAATTCTTTCCATGGTTGTTACTCCTTTAAACATACACATGTAGTCCATGAAATGTGATATTGAAAAAATACGTTTTAATTCCATACATTTAAAAACTATGTTCTATTAATCTTTTTTTGCAGATTTATTATTGAACAGAACACGTGATGAAATTAACGACATTTTAGAATTTGAAATTTATAAAAAAGTCGAAAAAATAATTTTTCTTTAAAAATGATATGGTCGTAAAAATGTGAGTTCGTAAAAATGAAGTTTCGAAATTTTAAAATTCGTTATTTTAATTAATTTTATGAGTCCCTACATAGTATTTGACTACAGGTAAATCGCCAAAATTATCTGTCATGTACTTTTGGAATATTTCTGATGCAATATTTATCCCAAAAGGCATTCAATTGAATTGCCACAAACCGAAAGGAGAACTCGGAAAGTGAAACTTATTCAATGCTTGATTCAAATACTTTAGATCAATACAAATTCTTATTTTATCTCCTTTTTCAACAATTACGATACTATTAATCCATTCACGCTGTTCACTGACACGTGAAATGATTCCTATTCTTTCCATTTCATTTAATTTATTCTGAAGCTTATTCTTCAACTTAAATGGAATTCGACAATTCTGATTCGGCACCGGAATCTGTAAACTTATTCTTTTGCTTTTCTGAACACAACAATTGGTTTAAGTGCAAAGAATCTAAACCAGATACGAGTTTTAGATTTACACAGGACTCTAAGCCTAATAAAGGTACCGTTTTTATATCAATGATTATAAATTCCTCATGATACACACTATTATTGAAATTAATTGGAAGAATCGTCTTCCCTAAAGGGTGATTGATTTCACCAAAATAGCCTTGTAACTTTAAATTACTTTTTTTGATCTTAAATTTCTTTCCTAGGCTTTTAAACATATCTATACTAATAGTATTAACCTGCGATCCAGTATTCAACTTAAAATTGATCATTTTATCATGCACGAGTAACTTTTTACACCAAACATTGCTTTCTGCATGTTCAGTAAGTTCATCACAATTGACTATAACATTAGACTTACAGTTTTCGCGTTCTTCAACTGCACAAACCTTCTCCTTCCTCTTTTTGCCTATTAAATTCTCAACGCTGTTGCTTTTAACTTGAGCTATTTCACTTTTATTCGACGTTTGTTTGTTGAGGATACGTTGGTGCACTGCTGATAGTTGATTTACATTGATACTGTGTGATGCAATTTGGACTAATTGCTGCTGATTGTAATAATATATTTTGATTTTGCTGATCAAAATATGCAATGACTTTTCTTGAGATAAAATGAGGTTTTCTCGCAAATTGTTGTTGTGCAGACCGAAAAAATTTGATCACGAATGGCTTCTTCTTTGTATTGATTAAATTCACAGCTATCAGCTTGGGTGTGAACGCCCCTAATGAACTGATCGACTGATTCACATTCCTTTTGAATACAAAGAAAAGTACTTTTCAAAGTTTGATGACGGTGATAAATAATTCTTGAGAGCCTCAAACTCTTTTTCATAATTCTGCTTCTCTGGATCCGTTAATGGTAGATTCTTGATGATGTCCACTGACTTATATCCCATCAAAAGTGTTAATAAATTAAGTTTGATCTTGTCGGATTTTTCATCAAGTTCGTTAACAATAAGATACGAGTTGAATTCTGTTGAAAATCATTCCCATTCAATTTTTGACGAAGAAGCTTCAAAATTGAATTTCTCTAATTTTTTATACGTCTTTATATTTTTGTTCGTGTTTTTCAACTGATTTATTTATTTTTTCAGATTACTGAGATCATTATTTCAAATTTTGGAGTTTCGTTCAATTTCAATTATATATAAATAGAAGCTACTTGAAATGCATGAAATGACTAGATTTATGTAATGACTTGATGCCTAATTTAATTTTAGGAACTCTTTTAAAGCGTTTTCTTCTTCCTCAACTTTTTTATGGAGAAAGATCAGATTGTTCTTCTCAGTTTCGTCATTAACAGTTAATGCTGTCCGAAAGTTATTTCCAATGGCACATTCAAACTTTTCCTGCTTTTCACGAAGCGCGGTTCCAGACGATTCCTTAGTTATTTGCTCAGCAAGCTCAATTAAAGGCGAACTTTTCGACTCATTCTTCAGATTCTGCTTCAAGTCGTTAAAAACGACATCTATGAATAGAATAAACTGCTGATTAATTAATGGCTATATTAAAGAATCTAATGATTTACCAATAGTGCTGTTCATGATTAAGGAACGTCTCATTATTTCCATTTGATTCTGGATCTTTGGTTTTTTCTCATCAACTATTTTGCGTTTAACATCAACTTCCGTTTTTTCACTACCTCGATCTTGTTCCTTACTTCCTTCATCACCCTTGAATAACTTACTTTCCTTTTTCATGATTAAACGTTTATAATTGCCTTGACAATGCCTAAATACAGTTTAATTAAGATAATTGAAAATTAATGATGGAGTAACGACTTGTTCAGAATTGGCAGTTGAAAAAAAAATTTGAATTTTCGAACAAAAACCTGTTTACTGAAAAAAGTTGGAAAAGTCAGGGAAGAATAGTTAAAATAATTGAAAATCGCTGGAAATAAAGGCTTATCATATTTAAATAACTGTATAATAATAATATAAGATCATTAGGACCATAAATGTGCAAGTTTTATACCTTATTTTGGTGAGTGAGTGCTTTAAATTGAAGGAGAAAGTTTACTTCTAAAAATACAAAATTTAACATTGAAATATATTTTTATAATTTGCTCACAATTTAGATGAATTAACGTGAAAAGAAAATGTTGATTGCACCAATCTTTAAAGTAGATTATTTATCAAAACAAAACGAACCACATAATAGTAAAATTAAGTGAGTAAATCATATATTCATCTCTGGATGTTGTGTTATTGTTTTTTATTTCGATTTCTTCTTTCTCTTCAATTTTAGGGATGTCTCTGCAAATGTCCATAATAATCCAGCGACGACTAGTACGTATAGTAATATTTTTAAGACTGCATTAAATCGTGGAACTGAGTTAATTAAGAGTACATTTTTGTCAAAAAGCACAAATTTTTATAACGATTCGTTCGAGTTGAGCACAAATGTAGTAAATCAGGCATCGTTGCCTGTAAAGTTGGATAATACAGTCAATATCGAACGATCGTCGTCAGAATCTTCAAGTTCATCGTCTTCGACTTCATCAAGTAGTGACCATTCCTCATCTCCAGACAGTATAAAAACAGAGCTAATGCTCTTTAAACCAATTGTTCGAGAGCCAAGGATAACGTCTTCAACAAAAATTCTACGACCCACTTCAATTCGTTCAACTTCGTCCAATTCAACAATCCATACACCATCTCCGAGTCCATTCTTTATTCCCATTACGTCACAAAGACAATCTGCATTTAGTGTTGTCATTCATTTGAATGATACAATTCCACAAAAAGAAATTAAGAAGCCAAAGAGTGTAAAGCGAAATCGTTCTAATTGTGAGAATAAAAAGTCTGAAGGATTCTCTCCAAAGCGTCAGAAAGTGGATCGAGACTCTACTTACAATACGAGATTAAAGACTGACAAAGATGTTAAGGTGACGAGAAGCACTGCTAAAACAAAAAATCAACCAGCAACAAAAGTATTGTCTAAGAAGCAAAAAGGACGAGATACAAAAGCAAAAGCTGGACTGACAAAAACTAATGAATTTCGACGGGTAACACGAAGCATGAAGAAGACTTGAACAAAACACACAAAGGTACTTGAATGTGCTCAAAATTTAATACATTCAATCTTCTTCTAAATAAATTTATATTAATAACAGTGATAATGAATCTTGTGACACTAAAAATAGCAAAACGAACGATGGAAAAAATAATGTTATAATGCCTTCTTCTTGAATGTGTGTAGTACGTGAACTTTGCAATACGACTCTAATTAAGTTTTTTGTGATAAGACTTAACATATTATGTTCATTGATTGATAAAAACGACAAAACATGGATAATAAAATTAAGTTATAGACTAATAAGACCTTATGATTTATAAATCATTTTTGAATAGCATATAAACGTGATCCAGCCAGCACCATACATCACGTTTATCTTTCTTTTTAAAGTAGATAAAAAGTATAAGTTTAATTAAATTTTTTAGTAAATGTCACTCAAGTTATGTACAAATATCAAACTGCTATCTTTTATTTTTTAATAAATATATCAAAAGACACACGTGTAAATATCAGTGAAGCTCCTTAATTCTTTCCAGTGCTTTTGGCGTGCTTTTTTGGAGATTTCTTACTGTCTGGGAATGTAATTTTAATGACTGAAAGACCTGATGGAGTCACTTTGACTGATTCCTTTGAAACCTTCGAGATATCACTTGATGCAGTCGATGATCCAGAGAATATTGAGCGGTGGGAAACTATAAGGAATATTAAATGTAACAAAATCTTTGATCAAGCATTGACATGAATTACTTACATCTTTTCATGCAATGTGCATCACCTTTAAAGCTTTGATCACCCAATGATGTTTCACTTTTCCATGAGCATTGACTTTTTGTTCGTCGAACACTAGCTGGCAAGCTCAAACCTCTTTCGATGAAATATCTCGTTACAGTCTGTGTCATTTCTGGATAATTATCGACCATATCAGTCAGTTGCTGTAACGTGGAATTATTCTTTTCATCAAATTCTTTATATTCAATGTTTCTGTCAAATAGGCTTATGATATCTTGATCCTTAATTCTTCGTCTTGCAGCTTTATATGAATTCTTCATTTCACGTTCAGCACGTTCCTTTTTCGTTTCCTGATCCAATAATTCTTTATGAATCTTGAGCAATGTATCATTGTTGTCCAATCTGATCCGTTGAACTTCATCAAATTCTTTTTCAACTTCCTGCCTTTGATTCTCAAATAACTCCAAATTAGATAATAAGCACATTAGATTCTCCTTCAACATTTTTATATCGTTCATCGTTTTGCAATATTGATTTTGTAGATTATCCATTTTTTTCATTTCAGGACTATTTTCATGAACCATTTCAAAGACTTTACGATATTCGCTATTCGAAAAGCTCATTAATTTTAATGCATTTTCCATACATTTAATCTCATTCTCAGCTTTTACAATTTTCTCATTTAACTCATTTCCTTGATTTAATAGCATGAACTTTTCTTGAGCCATTTCGATTTTAATTTGAACAGCAGTGACGGTTGAACCATCATCATTTCTACCCAATAAGTCTATCGCACATGCATAACGCTTTCTAAGATGCTCAATTTTTAGTAAACGCTCACTAATGTCTGCCTTCATTTGTGAACGCTCTTCAATTAAGCATTTTCGTCGCATGTTCAAGATATTCATTTGTGCTCGAATATCAATTAGACGGTCATTCATTGCTGCTTCTAATTCCGTTTTGTGTTTTTCCAACGAATAAGCTTTGTCGGCTTGCTTAGCAATTTGCTTTTCTATTTGAGATATTTTTATTTTTAATAGGTTCAATTCAACGAGCTTCTCTTGATTCTGATGTTGAATTATTTGGTGCTGTTTAATGCCTCCTTCCATTGTTACTTTTCGCTCTTTTAACTTTTCATTCTGTAAATAAAATTTAAAGGAAGTTGTTCAATTCCAATATTTTCCATGACAGCAATTAAATGTAGGACGTCATTAAAGTACAATCTCGAGACTAATTAACCGATAAATTTGACAAAAATATGCACGATTAAATAATTATGGCCAATTATGGTATCCGAACATACAAAGAGCATGCTCAGAAAAAAGAGCACATTAGTGAGCCTACTCAAAAATTATACTCATGCAAGCTTATTCAACTGAGCATGCTCAGGAGTTCATTACGAATGTGCTCACTTTATTTTTTTACAAAAGGTTTATAAGCTCACGTGAGTTCATTCAATAAGTATACTCTTGAGAATATTAAGAACATACTCATGTGAATTCACTCATATGAGTTCACTTACTGAATATACTCATGAGCATATAATGAGCAAACTCACTGGGGCCGTTCACTTATTACGTTACGCAAAAAAACGACTTTTTCACCCCCCTCCCCCCCATTGTTACAATAGGTTAAAACTCACAACCCCCCCCCCCCTGAACGTTCATAATTTATTTTATTTTGAAAGATTTTATTTTAAAAGGCAGACGACAGTTAGAACGTTGCATACTTTTTGAGAACCCCCCCCCCCCCCCCCCCCCCTATGTTACATTTTGTTACAATTTTTTAAACCCCCCTCCCCCCTAAAATGCGAACGTAATAAGTAAACGGCCCCACTTCTGTGACACGCAATTTTTTTTATATTCTCATATGAGTGCACTTACTGAGTTTATTCAAGAGCAATAAAAGCATTTAAAATTGGTGCTCAATAAGATCCAAACTTCAAAGAACTTAGTTCGTCTGTAAAAATATAATAATTTAAGTGTGTGTTATGTCATATAAAAATTATTATATATTTACAGACAATAGCTCCAAGGAAAAGTGTGAGATGGCAGAAGTTAAGCAACGCAGAAAATATTTCAACAAGGATGGGTGACCAGATTTATATGTTTCCTTCTCAAGTATTTGAGATAAAATATTAATAATAATTTCTAACTCTTTCAAAATTATTCACAGAAATAAATGGAACAGTACTTAATTTCAGCTAACCTATAATACTCAAATTTAGCTTAATTAATTTTTTGAATTTTGCAACTTCACTTGAGTGCACTCATGAGTGTGCTCAGATGAGCATATACTCATAAATATACTCACCAAGTATATATTCTTTGAGTACGTTTATGAGTATGTACTCTTTGAGAATATTTATAAGTATGTACTTTTTGAGAATGTTCATGAGTATATTCAATAAAAATGTTACATGAGAAAAATGTTGCATGTGACATGTTACCTTCTCATTTGAGTATGCTCATGAGTTTACTCAATGAGCTTAATATATGTCACACAGGAATGTACTCAATGAGCATACTCAAACAGGTACCGTAAGCGCATCACTGAAACGTATGAAAATGAGCACATTCTCACAAAAGCTATCAAGCTCACAAATAATGTGCCCTGAGTATGCTCTCTGTATGTTCGGGGTAATTGTACTCACAAGTCTATCGAATTCAGCCATAGAGTTATGATAAACGGTCGCCAATTTCTTCATATCTTCTTCAGTTCTTGAAATTTGAGTTTTCATCATGTCCTCAGCTTTAATTTTATCATTATAAATTTTATCAAGATGACATTTTCGTTCTTCAAGCTTTGCACTTTCTTCCTCATCAATCGTGCCTTGCATATTTGCTAATCTCATTTCACTATGCTGAATCTTGTACTCAACATTGTAAAGAATTTCAGTTTGCCTCAAAAGTTCTTTCTCGAAATTTTTGCATGATGCACGTACTCTCGAAATTCCAGACTCTAATCCTTGTCCCTCGAGAATAAAATTCTTTTCGACAACTTGCAATTTTTTTAGCTGCTGTTCTGAACGATAAAGTACTGAGCATATACGCGATGATTCATCTTCAATCTTTTTTATGCTTTTCTCTTCCATTTCTAACAATTCCTCAATCTGACGAAGTCTCTCCTGTGCGTCGACATTTGTACCCTTGAACTTTTCGTATTTCTCATGAATCATCCTCAAATCATCAATCAATGTTTTCAGGACAGTCTCTTTCTCCTTTTCTTCCACGAGCATTTGACGATTTTGGTTTCTTAAATTATTTAACTTTTGTGACTCGCTCTGTACTGTCTTCCTTAGTGCTAATAGCTGTGGGATCATTAGAAAGACAATTAATTATATTTGAGTCAATATTTGTTTGTGTGCTGACTATTTTTTTCTTCGTTTGTCGCTCATCCACACTTAATCAGAAATGATTGACAAGGTGGGACATTAGGTCAAATTAATCCAATAGGATAGAAATTATAAACATTACCTCAGAGCTCTTTAATAAAATAAAATCCTCAAGCTTAATCAAACGGTTCCTTAAGTCCGACGATGTTATATTAAGTTCTTGTATAAAAAGCTCAATTTCTCGATTTTCATCTTGTTTTAATTTCATGACCATTTCCTCTCGCTTCAATGCTGACATTTTTTCATTCGAGACTTTTTTGGCACTTTCAATCTCATCCTCAGTCTCATTTATTTCTCTCTCACGCTGATTCATTTGGTTTACTGCATCTTTCCATGTATTTACTAACTGGCGACGTTCCAAATGAGCTTGTCGATAAAGTTGGCTGGTACGCTCTAAGAGGAGCTCTAATGACTTACGTTCCTCATAAAGATTTATGAGGACGCCTTTTTGCTTCACAATAGCATCGTGCAAAATTTTCCTTTTTGAATCGAGTGTCTGTGTATAAACAAGGAAGAGAGAGATATGGAGTGGATTAAAACTTTTTTTAATGTCATAAGTATTAGGCTTTGTGTTATGGTTCATCAAAACTTTATTTGCGGATGTTCTTGTGTATATTTTGTGACATTATTAAATTCTATTTTCCTACCTCCGCTCTTCCTGCGTCCATCCGACAAAGTTTTTCAATCATTTTATTCGCCTCATCCCCAGAAACCAAAACTTGGCGCCACTCTAAAAGAGCCGTTTTAGCCCACTGAATTCCTTCCGAGAGCTTTTCTATGGATTCACTTATTCTGATTTTCTCAGCTGTGAATGGAATGGCATGGAATTAAGTAATGTGATTTTGTAGTTTTATTTATCTTCTTTTCTTGTGCTTACATTTAAAATTTTCCTCCTTCAAAAGCATTTCTTTGCTTTCCTTATCAACTTCCTTCATCATTTGTTTAAGTCTAAGATTCTCATGCTCCCCGAGTTTCAGTAAATGGTACTCAGCTGTATATTGTGACTTGTGTGCATTTAAAAGCTTTAAATTCTGATCAAACTCGTTGTCTGCTGTCTTGCAAAGTTCTCCTACTCGCAAGACTTCCTTCTTTTCTCTCTCGAGTGCTGATTCATGTTCTAATTTTGATTTACTTAAGAATTTAATTGTTTCCAAAAGTTGCTTATTATCCTCATTAACAATTGGTAGAAATGTTTCACTAAATCCAGCTGCCTCCAAAACTTCCCTAATCAATTCATTCTCCTCAAAATCTCTTTGATCCACTTCCATTATTCTTCAATTTAATCTCCACAGTCTATTGAGATTAGATTATTTTTTTAAAGATATACTGAATAGAAATCCTTCTTTACTGTTTAATTTTAATAAGAAAATGTGAAATATGAAATTTGTTTTGTCGATAACTCTTATTAAAATAACCTTTTTTAAGCAGAACCTTCCGAAAAATATAAAAAAAAAATCAATTTATTCACCAAGAAAATGTTATTTGAATTTATTTTCTTTCCTTTTTTTTCACAATACAATCATGTTGCTAAAGAAATTGTTAATACAAATATATTGCATGCCTAGCAAAAATTGATGGGATACGATAACAAAAGAAAATGTTATATCGATGCATCGGTAGAAGCAATAATAGAAAAGTGACTACCTGTTGATTCTATTGAAATAAATAGGAAGTGTGCACGAACTATTTTTGTGCATTCCATTTCGATTTTTTATTGATTGTTATTATTCTTTTATTAAGCTATCAAGAATATTATTTTTTTTTGTTTATTAGACTAGCAGCTAGCATAAAATATTTATCAATTTCCTGTTGTTGCTGAATTTTACTTATTCATAACTCTTTATAGCAATTAAAATTTCATGTGAGAACTTTCAGTTCAGTTAAAGCAACGATATTTTTAAATATTATTCCTTAATCAACCACGTGCGAACTTAATTCTTCTTTATCTTTCAAATATTTGGAGCTCTGGATTGAGTTCTCTTAAAACTGCAACAGTTAAATTCTTAATTCTTCCTTAATTTCTAGCTTTTATTTAAAATTATGCCGGTTTTTAAAAATCAATATAATTAGTGAATGCTGTTATGCTGTCAAAGATTGATGAGAAAACAAGTGTAAACATTTCCGTCAGTTTTAGACATGATTGTTGTTGATAAACAGCTAATAAATTCACCGGTTCAAAAGGGAAATCAAACAATTCATTTCCTGTTCAAACAGCATTCATTTATCATGTCATTATGCCATACTATCGCCAGACATTTATCAAATCGCATGGATCATCCAATATACAGCTTTATTACAGAATATGAATATTCATGGCATAGAAGTTTATAAATAACAACAATTTAAACATTGAATTTTGTAAAAATAAAGACTCTAGAAACCAATTTTATATTTTATTTCATTTTCATGATTAAAGAAGAGATAGTGGAAAGGAATTTTTCAGATAGATGTTTTTATAGCTGAAAATGCTACATAAACATCAAAGTTTGAGCTAGAATGTTTTTCTTCGAGGATTCCCTCAAGCACAAATAATAAAATAAAAATTTTTAACATTATTAAAAGAGAGTGAGGGTAGAAAATGGAACTTCCCTTTTTATTTTTATGATACTGTTAGTACGAAAGCTCCCTTAGCAGCTTTCTCGATTTGCTAAAAAGATATGTTTTATTTTATTTTATTTCCTTAGCGAAAGAATTATTTCTGTGCAAATGTTAAGATGAATGGATATATGACATGAACGAATCGTGTAATGTGGCGTCGTTGATAAGTGACGTCAATTGGAAAATGGGATTTTTATACCGCGTATAAATTCATTAATTGAGTATTACGAGTATTACTAAGTTTGAGACCAACTCAATATCAATGTTTTGTTACATATTGGACTTACTCAAATTCAATCAGGGACCAAAATGAATGAAAAAAATCTGTGATGAAAAACATCATTATTTTTGATGATGAATAATATTATAATTTTTTTCATTTACGTAAATTATTACGTAAAGTTTCATCACTTAAGAATCATTTTTACGTAGGATTTCATCACGTAAAGCAAAAAATGACGTATAAAATGTTTCTTTACAAGTTTTTTAAGCAAAACTAATCTATTCCATCTCTTGTTCTTATTATTTAACATTATATAATACCTCAATCTAGACATCCTTAAAATGCAGTTACCCTAATATGCAGATAGTACTGCCAAGATGCAGATGGTACTGCTAAAATGCAGATGAAATGCTGTTGCTTTAAAAAAGGTATAATGCAGATGATTTTTATTGTATAAAGTGCAGATAAGATGCTGCCCAAATGTAGATCGTATAATTTTATTAAAATACATCATATTCAATGACTTTATTTTTTTGATACGTGTTAATAAAAAAAAAATCCATACAAATTTTCACCTTCAAGTGATTTAAAATCCCAAAAAAATCCCCATACAAAATGATTTAAATCATAAATCAAAAATAAATCACTTGGGTAATGTTTGCAATGTATTCAAAAATGCATTTTTGTTTTTCTGAACTTTTTTAATAACAAAACTAGTTTATCGGGTAGAAACCCAATGCGGATATATTCGCACCGTACCATCAAAAGTCTTGTGGAAAGACCAAGCTAAGCTCAGTATTAATTTGAAAGTATAAATCCTGACGAACCAGTTGAGCTGTGCTCAGCATATGTTTGGAGGTTTAAAGCTTAACGAGCATTCTTTAAAGTTTTTTAAAAACATTTTTCATCCAAAGTTAAAATTAATTTTATAAAAATCACAGTCAACTTTTGTTTTGAAAAAATTCGTAAGAAAGGAAAGTTTTTTGCTTTTTCTGAAGCAACGACTGTTCCTACCTTGCCCAAAAACTATACAGCTATTCTATAGAGCAGCACAGATCAAATGTAAAAAACTAGAAGTCTCTACGATGTCTCGTTGAGATTTCTTGCTGATTAACTTGCTTGTTTGCTTGCTTACAGAAAGCGTATTTTCCGATTTTCTCAGCAATGCCACAACCAATTTGAAATCTATTTTTTGAAAATGATGTAAAATTTCAGGTACAAACTTTACTTCTGAAACTTTTTATATTCACACCGTTTTCACGTGTGAATCTATTGGTTTTGTTCAGATTGAAAAATCAGTTTTTCGCATTTTGTGAGAAAACAAAGCAAAATTGGCTATAAAAGGACAGAGAAGAAAAGTTTGTGTCTGAAATTTTACATCATTTGCAAAAAACAGATTTGAAATTGGTTGTGGCATTGCTTAGAAAATCGCAAAATACGCTTTCTGTAAGCAAACAAGCAAACAAGCAAGTTAATCAGCAAGAAATCTCAATAACGAGACATCGTAGAGACTTCTAGTTTTTTACATTTGATCTGTGCTGCTCTATAGAATAGCTGTATAGTTTTTGGGCAAGGAACAGTCGTTGCTTCAGAAAAAGCAAAAAACTTTCCTTTCTTACGAATTTTTTAAAACAAAAGTTGACTGTGATTTTTATAAAATAACTTTGGATGAAAAATGTTTTTAAAAAACTTTAAAGAATGCTCGTTAAGCTTTAAAGCTCCAAACATATGCTGAGCACAGCTCAACTGGTTCGTCAGGATTTATACTTTCAAATTAATACTGAGTTGAGCTTGGTCTTTCCACAAAACTTTTGATGGTACGGTGCGAATATATCCGCATTGGGTTTCTACCCGATAAACTAGTTTTGTTATTAAAAAAGTTCAGAAAAACAAAAATGCATTTTTGAATTTTGCAAACATTACCCAAGTGATTTATTTTTGATTTATGATTTAAATCATTTTGTATGGGGATTTTTTTGGGATTTTAAATCACTTGAAGGTGAAAATTTGTATGGATTTTTTTTTTTATTAACACGTATCAAAAAAATAAATTCATCGAATATGATGTATTTTAATAAAATTATATGATCTACATTTGGGCAGCATCTTATCTGCACTTTATACAATAAAAATCATCTGCATTATACCTTTTTTAAAGCAACAGCATTTCATCTGCATTTTAGAGAAATTAAATTTCATCTGCGCTTTAGCAGTACCATCTGCATTTTGGCAGTACTATCTGCATTTTAGGGTAGCTTCATTTTAAGGATTTCTAGATTAAGGTTTTTTATAATTCATTTGGTGTGATTTTATTCCATTTTTTGCTTTACGTGATGAAATCCTACGTAAAAATGATTCTTACGTGATGCAATTTTACGTAATAATTTACGTAATTGAAAATAAAAATAATGATGTTTTTCATCACAGATTTTTTTCATTCATTTTGGTCCTTGAATTCAATAGATCCTTTTATTCATATTATTAATCATAGTGATTTATTCATTAAATAATAATTCTAGATGCAGGGATTTTTAATGACTAAGATGATAAACTTATTCCGTTCACTTAGAATTCTATTGTTCTTCTTTGAAAAAAGTTCGTTCTTACGTTGAATAACGAAACCTAGTTAAATATGAATTTTTATTCAAAGTTTTAACAGCCATCAAGCATGCTTTTAGCAGTACTGTAGTGTTCAATCGATCTTTATTGTCTGCCAAAGAAGGTTCCTGTATACTTAAGAATCAACCTAGTCATAATCAAATTGGACGTAACTTTTAAATGTCACCTAACGACTCTCTTCACACTATCACGAAATGAAAATTTCCCAATGCGTTTTGCCTACGAGAAAAGTGAAAAAGATTGTATTTGCTTTTTAAAAAACTACGTATATACATGCCTATATTCTTTTCATTTTCTATTTTTAGCACGCTCGTCTCCGAGAATAAAGAAAGGAAAAAATGAGATAAATTTTCTCATTTACAGTGAAAATTTTATTCATTCATTGCCCGTGCCTTTATAAAAAAATAAAATAATAATATAGAATTTTTCAAATAATTATTTAATTTAATGCTGTACTGATTATTCACAACAAAAAACGTGTGAAAAATGTGCTCAGATTTATTGTGTCCATTGTGTAATATATCAACATTCCCAGACATTGAATCATTCAAGTTGAATCTCATAAAAGTGAACAGTAAACCAATAAAGTGTCCACTCTGCTCCGACGTTCTACTTGGTCTTGATAAATTGACTATTCATTTATTTGGACATTCTATTCCATTTGAGTCAAATGAAATAACAACTTTGGCACAAGTGGAACCGCCTTTGAAGGCACAAAAGAAGAATTCCAAGCCACAACAGAATAACATAAAGTTAGTAAAAATGACATCATTACAAGAGAAAACATCACTCGACGAGAATTTCCGCTGTGAGATTTGTGGATTTTTATTTGAAGAGAAGCATTTACTCGATTTACATCTCAGTCTTGTACATAATTTCACGCCAAATAATGATGAGCACGAGAATACACAACAGCAGCAGCAGGAGCAGTTGTCAAATAGCACAAATGATGTGCCACAGAAATGGAATTGTCATTTATGTGGAAAAAACTTTAAAATGAAAGGAGCATTAAGAATACACATAAGAGTTGCTCATGTTCGTTTTCACGATCAAAATCAACGTCAAATCAATATAGCTGACTATTTAAAGAACCGAAAATCAATTGATATGTGTACTATAAAAACAGAAATGTTGTCACTCCAAGATCCTTACAGTCCTGATAACACACCATTCTACAACAACAACAAAAGCCCACAATCATCCCCAATATATTCACCGAATGTTCCAAAATCACCAACAAGCAATAGCAATAGCGAACAACAACGGAATTTACAAGAAGGCGCTACAAAAAATTTAAAAACTTTTCAGTGCGAGGAATGCAAGAAAACTTTCACAACAAAATATTTCTTAAAGAAACACAAACGACTTCACACAGGTATCGATTTTTTTTTTCATTCCTTTTCTCCTGCTTATTTATATTTGTTATCTTTCCTTTCTTCGACTGACTGCTCATGAATGAATAATATCATGCTAATGTGAAATAACAATAATTTTCAATTACCTTTAAATATATTCACTGTTCTTATCAATCTCAGGTGAAATGCCTTATACATGTCAAATAGAAGGATGCGGGAAAATGTTTCATTTTCAACAATCGTACCATAAACATCTCCTGTATCATTCTGATGCTAAGCCGTAAGTTTGATGAGAGACATTTATGAATTAAATTTAAATTTTTAAAACTTTTCCATAAAATGATGATTAAATTTACTTCCTTTATGCTTCTTTTTCATTATTCGTTAGTTATGAGTGTTCAGAATGTGGAAGAAGTTTTAAGGAGCTTTCAACATTGCACAATCATCAACGAATTCACAGGTAAGCTCAGAAATCATACATTTATTATGAACAATAAGTGACTTTTTATGATTCGAATGGGAAGTTTATAAAAAGTGTCCAGTAGGAACTAGTGGTTAGATTTTTGGACTAGGTTTTCGTTAACAAGAGGAAAGCAATATGATGCTATAAGGGGTGTAGTCTGAATTCATTTCATTCCTAAACTCGCGAATTAATCCTTAACTCATTTATCAATACTTCTCCTCCCTTAGATTTTAGACCCATCATGAGTAAACAACTCCAAATTTTATTTTCAAAAAAAAAAGAAATTCAATTCATGTTATTCTCATTTCAGCGGCATCAAGCCTTTTGGATGTCATATTTGTGGGAAGTTTTTTAGACAAAAAGGTACATAAAAGGATCGTAACATGAATGAATGTGAAGAATTTATGTGACAGTATTTTATTGTGTTCTTTTATGCAAGCTCAAAGAGCAAGCATGTTCGCAAACACAAAGAGAATACACACATGAGAGACATTATGGACTGTGTGTACTTCACTATAAAAATTGTTGGCGCAAACATTAAAAAGACTGCACATAAAATATATTATAGGCAATTTAAAAAAAATACCATAGTCATTAAGTGAGATAATCTGAATTGCTGTCCTTTTTTACTCCTTTCTTAGTCTCATATCTTGTTCATCAGCGAATTCATAATGGAAGCTTACCATATAAATGCTCAGGTGAGCTGTAATTTTTCATTTAGATGGCTGTTTAAGTATCGATACAAATCTTGTCGTAAGGCTGGTTCAACTACACTAAAAATGTCAAAGATATGGTAGAAATAATGTTCTGTAATTAAAGAATAAGGTTCTTAAGTGTTGAGCATGGAAACATTTTGAAGATATTAAATGTTTTCGTATGCAAATATTTCTTTTGTGCTTCAGTCACACTACACAGCAAAGCACAAAAAAAATGAGAACTCATGCTGAAAAGCTTTATCAAGATAATGTTGACATTTTTTTGTTGAGTTGAGCCTCCTGCTCGTGCCGCCATATATTACAATGCAAATATTCAAATTAGAATTCACCCTTTTCAGACCAATTTAATTATACATGTTCTCGTTTTACTCTCATTTTTTTTACTATAGAATGTGGTAAAGGTTTTCGTTACAAGGTCAGTCAACGATCACACAAATGTAGTGGGGTTCTAGAAAGACAACCCGGGAGTTTGATTCAGAAATTAATGCAGAACTCATCGATTTTAGCAACGTCGACTATTGTTTCTAATACAACCGTTTCTAACGAGACAAATACAACGCCTACATTAACAAATAGTGCCAACATTTCCACCACTTGTAATCAAAAGCAAAGCGAACACGAAACAACTCACGACCTATGTCTGGACGACTTGCTTAAAGAATCTTATGAAAAATTAATGAAGTCAAACGAGAATGAAATTCAACTATTACCGCAAATCGTTGGGGACAATGCCTTTGAAAACAATACCGGTGTAATGACATTTGAAAATATGAATGGCATGCCAACAAACTCAACTGACTATACAACTTCCATCAATAATAATTTTAACACGAATTATCATTCTACTCTCGAGACTATATGTGAAGATTCTATTAAAGAGCTTCTGTATGGACATGTCGGGTGAAATTTATTTTTCTCTTGTACGAGTCATTTATTTGCAGTCGTCAGTGTTGTTATCTGGTCATTTGATGTAGCAATCAAACATCTTTGAAAACAATATGATTTCCCTGAATATAAAACTGAAGATTTCCAATGCCTCATTCCCTTATTGATACCAGATTGTTGAGATCGAGACATCCTAGGACAGAATCTTAATCGATTTGGTTTACTAATGGAATCTAACAAGATTGCTGGTTAAATTTGCAAGCTTTCAAATTCTATTTCAAAATCAAAGTCGCTTCAATTAGCAACAGAATTGAATTCTAAGATTTGCAAGTTTAAACTAGCATAAACTAGACTAGACTAGGGTCAGTCTCTATATATCGGTCATTGAAGTATAATATTTATGATTCCAAAACAGTTCAGACTTCTGGATTAACAACACTGACAGTCGTATTTACTAATTAGTCTTTCTGATCATAACTTTTTATCAGTGATGACAATGAAGCTGTTATTCACATTGTGTTCTTCATATATTCTTTTATTTATTAATTTATTGTAAATGTTCAGTTAATTAAGTTAAAGAAGCAATAAAGTATATCCTAGAATATAATTTACTTAAGCTGTCTTGGTTGTTATCCCTAGAAAAGAAAAATTTATATGTAGATGAAAATGAGAAAAGATTCTATGCTCATTTTCAGTTGAATAAAACATGAGGTCTAATAGATAAGCTTGTATGGAAAGAAAACACTTCTTCTCATACATTTTGGATATGATATGAAGAATATTTCCATAAAAAGAGATTATATAAAATTATTTGGAAACATTAAATCTGTAAAAATCTACGTGACTGGATAGTTAAACGAGTGTGCCTATTTATACATCCTAATAATTGGTCATAAAACCCTTTTGTGGGTTTTTTATGAGTTCGTGGTTATTTTAAATTAGTGCCTCACATTATCAGCACTAAAACTCAGCAAACTTTGCAAGCATAAAGTATGACCTGATTCAATTCTATATTTGGAAAGTTATGCTTATACAAAAACCATTAGCGCTCCTTAGATTCAAATGTAGGAAATAAATCAATTTGATTCCCTAGCAGAAATTTACTAGTAATTTCCTAGTAATTTACTGGATAACTTTCCATTTGCTACTTGCTATTTACTAGTCAAAATCCAAGTTCAAATCATCGCCAAAGACCCGCATTTTCACTTGCTAATTGACTAGTCAATTCGCTTACAATTTAACTAGTAATTTACTAGCAAATTTGTAAAAAATTTAAATGAATATAACCGTTGATTTCCACGTGTTCTTTTGATTTTTTTTGTGTAAATTATTGTAAAAGTATTAGTGTGTACTTAGTTTAAGTTAATAAAAGTACTCTAACACTATGATGAAAAACAAAAGACTTAATTTAATAAAGTCGAACACTGATGAACGCCTCTAACCCGCACGCAAACCTGAGGAAGATAAATAATTAATTGAAGTCACATACACATTTGGATCGACCTTATAAAGGTGATTTCTGCACGCTCTTGTGAAGTATATGGCAAATGCCAAATTTAGAACAAAATTTTTTTTGACGCAAAAAATTCTTTTTTTTGATGATTTTTCGTAGGATTCGAACTTAAGAAGATTTGATCAAACATTTTACATGGTAATTTGCTAGTAATTTGCTAGTAAAAAGCGAGTGTAATTTTCTAATAGTAAGTTGTTTTAATAATTACTAGTAAATTGCAAGTAGTAAAATAGAAAGACTAGCAATTTGCTAGTTAGTCTCGCTAGGGATTCCTCATCAATACAATATTTATGTGATGTATGCGATTTATCATATTTATATTGATTTCTTTATTGCAAATGTAGATATACTGAAAATGCCTTGTACCTTAACCGGTAACCAGAACGTTTTGATACAATATTAATCCTATATTGTATTACATGACATCAACCAAACTGATATTACTTTGTATTGCTAATACATTATGAATATGCTTGCAAAACTCAACTTTTATGCAATATGAAGCTTAGTGATACATACTCTTAAATGTATTGAACAAGCAATTTAATTTTAAAACATGAACAGAGAATAGAATTTTATTATTTTTCAATATATTTTTTTTCATTGGAACTTCCTTAGGAGTCTTATTTAAATGATGACCATTTTTGAGAACGCAGAGGATTGAGAAAGGTTTTATGACACTGAATTGTAGCATAAGAAGTAAGAGAGTCGAGGGGTCGAAACAACTTACTTATTAATTACCTATCTTAGAAAATTTCTAGGTATAACGTTGCTAGACGTTATTTATAAACAATCCCTTATATATGAAATTTCATCCTAGTTTTTGCTTCCTCACTTCTCGACTGCTGAGTGCGGGTTTTGTTGAGAGCATGTCGTTGATATTTCTGATTAAATTACATCTAAAATTGAGAGATCTAGAACGGGATATGACATAATATTATCATATTACTTGTGTGATGGAAAAAATTCTCTAGAAACTTTTAAGATGTTTTCCATAATTCCCATAACTTTCTTATCAAATATCCCAAATCAGCTTTGAACATAGCAATATTCCACAGAACCCAATAATAACATGTTATTATAAGAAACTAAAATAATATTATTATATACATAGCAGTAAATATTCAATCATACGCATATATGTGCTTGAATGACTTTCGACAGTAAAAAAATATAAGCCTATGCCCTTGAAATTCGCAGACTTTATGGAAACAAAGTTGATTTTATCTCTTCACCGTCATCAATTTTATATCTATTCCTATTGTCAACTTTACGGCTCTGAATCGCTTGTTTATCCAACAGTTATATGATTTTATTTTTGTTTCTTTCAGCATTTTTGCTAAATTGGAAATTCTAAGCTCTCAATCAAACAAAATGGTGAATATAAAATAATAAAATTAGAACCTTTAGCTAGTCGTTAAGTATTCATGTAAATTATATGCTGGTGATGATGATTGAACGATTGTAATCAAGAAAAGGGTGGAAGATCTCATTAATTGATAGAAAAAAAATTGAAAATAAAACATGTTTGGTATGTGGAGTGTAACCATAACTGCTTTAAGGACGATATTAAATGTATGTATTGACTCAAATATACGTCACTAGATTGTTGTTTGTTTCACAAAGGAATACAGTTGACATTGTATAACGGTATTAAGAGATTTTTAAACTATAATTAAGGCGATGTAAACAGCAAACATTATTGGATTACATCTATAAACCATTGAGGCGGATAATAAAATTCAAATTACCCTGTTTTTCGTTATAAGCTAGTAGCTTAGAAGAATAAAAAAAGTGATTTTTTTGGCTCACTAGTAGCTAGGGTTTGGGGAACCTGTTAAAAGAAAACAGGTCTCAAAAACAGATCTGTTTTCTGTTTTTCATTTTTACATATAATTTACAGAAAAAAAATTTCTTAATTTTTTGAAGAACTTAATATATTTTTCCAGCATTCCAAATTGAAATGTATTTGCTATTTTAATATTTTTTGGATGTTAAATAGGTTTGAAATCATTGTCAAATTTATGGTTAATCATTATCAGGGTGGGGGAGTATTTTGCGATTTAAATCAAAATCCCAAATCAAATTGTGATTTTTGATTTAAATCTCACATAAAAATGATTTGAAAAATGATTTTTGATTTAAATCATTTTACCCAAGTGATTTATTTTTGATTTATGATTTAAATCATTTTGTATGAAAGATTTATTTGTAATTTATGATTTAAATCACATTATATGGGGATTTTTTTGGGGATTTTAAATCACTTGAAGGTGAAAATTTGTTAAGAATTAAGAATAATCATAAATCATGGATATCCTTTCTGGTAATCAAAAAAATCTTTCATACAAAATGATTTAAATCATAAATCAAAAATAAATCACTTGGGTAAAATGATTTATATCAAAAATCATTTTTCAAATCATTGCAAAATGATTTTGATTTTGATTTATGATTTAAATCCCCACCCATTATTAATTTTGCAATCGAAATTTTAAATTTGTTGAACCTTTTGTAGCATTACTAAAGTTCAAAAATATAATCAAAAATTTTACAAGATATTTTTTTATTCAGAAAGATTTTTTGAATATTTCAAATAAAATATTAGAGTTTATGGAACTTTTACAAAGCAACAATGCAATGTTACTTAAAAGTATAAATTATTTTTTTTGCATTTTTATATTTCATTATATTTTTTTGAGTTAATTAACAAAAAAATTAAGAAATAATAATGCTAAGCTCTAAAATGTATGCTTAACTGCTTATAACCACCAAAAAGTTTCATTATCTTAGAGAAACACTAAGGATAACTCAACTTATATTGAATTCTAGAAAAACAGGAAAACAGCTGTTTTTAAAAATCAAAAACAGAAAACAGACTGTTTTTCAAAAACAGCTGTTTTCCACAAACACTACTAGTAGCTTAGTAACGAGTAGTAGCTAAGTAAAGAAATTGAACTTCAATGAAAATTTTGAATTTTTTAACTTAATTAAAGAAATTTTACTATCTTCTCGATTTCATTTCATTGACAATGTCATAAGACATTGAAACTGATAATTAGAAAGTTGAAAAAGTTTAATTAAACTTTATTTTTGGTAGTAGCTTAGTAAAGATTACAAAAAATTTTCAGGTTCAAAAAAACTTTACTAGGCTAGTAGCTTAGTAACGAGTAGTAGCTTATAACGAAAAAACAGGGTAAGCTGCTGAAAGCATTTACTCAAACTTATTTCTGTTTGCTTGCACATCGTTTAGTATCTCACAAAAGGAGAAGTTTCTTTATAGTTTCCAAGTGCTTGAATGCTGACTTCTTTTGTTATAGATTTGACATTTTCTATCTCTTTATTTCAACAATACCCTTTCCTACGTCAGAAACTTTCAGCCCGAACAATCATCATAAATACATGTAAATTTATTTAAGGATTTAAATTCAAATTGTTCAATTTATTTCTGCACATCTCTTATATCCTCTTTATCTTTATGTATCTTCTTTTAGATACGAATCAACCATGAATTAATATGACCTTGAACCTTACCTTATTTCTACCAATAATCTCATTTCACCTGTCATGTCATAGTTTCACTCATGTCCTTCTCTCTTTTTCATACATAAAGTTCTGCTCCAATTTTTCTTCACACTCACCAAAGTTCTCATTTGAGCAACAAAAAAATAAATAAAAGGAATAAAAGTATATATACATACGGGAAAAGAGAGGAAGTATATGAACCATATCGCGAGGAAGGTTTATAAAAATGAAATGATGTGCACTGTTGAAATTAATATATGAGGCGGAATATTTTAATTAAATTTTTTATTGTTCTTATATAATAAAAATATACAGCATGCCTACCTCAAAAAAGCAGCATCCAAATTAGCATAAAAAATGGGAATAATGAATATGAATTAAGTATCTGAGGAATTAAAATTCAATCATTTTTCCTGTTAATAGAAACAAACAGAAAAAATATATGAACGGACTCATTTGTGTCTTGCATAAACGAACAAACCTCATTCCATCCTTTTACTGCTCAAACACTTGCATACAATCCACCCCCTCTATAGGAATGGAAAGCTCTACTACTGTTACACATAAAACATTTTCCCTTCTAGATACCGAATAACAGAATGAAAAAAAAAAGTCAGTCTCGTGAGTTCAGTCGACGAGTGAAGAAGTGCTGAAAAAGCTCTCTCTAAAAAATTTTATTAATTCAAGAAATTTATTTTTTTATCGATTTTCCAAATCAATTTCCATCCATCAAGTGAGGAACAATTATTTTCAAATAAACTCTCTGTTCAAAATAGGAACCTACAGATTATATCAAAAACAATTTTTTTTTTGTTACACAAGCTCGGTGAAAGTGAAATTACGAGAAAACAATGCCAATTATATCGCCGAAAATTCCTCAAGGCTTAGAGGAATTGATGAAGGGTCTGGCAAAAAGTGTTATTAAGGAAAATCCTGATAACATTTACGAATTTGCCGCCGAGTATTTTGAGAATTTATTACGCGAAAGGGATGGAACGGATGACCAGAATTACAAAAAATTTGCCACTTATAAGGTATATAAGAAAAGTCGAATGGAAAGAAGGAAGCGGGAAAGAGAAATTATATCAAATATTGATACTGAAAAGGGACAATTACAACATGAGCGTATATTAAGTTCGGATGATAAAGTGTCATCTGACCAAAATGATGAAGATAATTCGATTGAAAAGATTACATTAGATGATTGTGAACCTCCGATGAAGGTAATGTCACAGGATATCATAGTCAGTACAGAATCGGAAATTAATACGACCATAAAGCAGGATTCATTTGTTGAGGATGAAGGTTCACCACAGAAAAGTGTCAACTCGGAAGATGAGGATATTAAAGGTTTAGTCTTGGACGATGATATGGCAAATGCTGCTCTAAAAATTCAGTCCACTTTCCGTGGACATAAGGTTCGAAAGGAAATGAAGGAAACTCAACAAAATGATTCTTTGATTGAAGAAGAGAATGTTGGAGATAAAATAGCATCAAAGGAAGAAGTTGATGAAAACAATCAGATAAATGATACAGAATCTGATGAAATAATAAAGAAATCTGACGAGGAGTGCGAGGCAGGCAACAGTGTAGAAGAAAAAGATGAGATTAATTTGGAAAGTCATTCTACTGAAGCTAATGAGAATGAATTTAATGACGATGAAATTGCACACGATGGTAAATTAAGTGTAGAAAATGTTGATGCTATGTCAGAAAATGAAGAACTTTTAAGCTCTGCTGAGAATAATATTGAAGAAAATTTACAACCCGAAAATGTTATTTTAATGGAACAAGAATGTAATGCAGAGCAAATTATAACAAATGAAAGCACACAAAGCTTTGATAATGTTGAAATAAACCTCAAAGATGTACAAGATGATGTAATTGAGAGTGAAAATGTTCAAACAACCCTTACAGAATATCCGGAAGCAAACGATAATGTCAATCTTGAAGATAAAGATGACATTTCTGCAATGGTCTTGGACGATGAGATGGAAGAGGCTGCATTAAAAATCCAATCTGCCTTTCGCGGACATCAAGTAAGAAAGGATATGAACCAGAAAGATATAACTTCAACTGATAACGCAAGCGAAGAAATTTGTGAAGAAAAAGAAATTTTAGCTGATTCTGAAAATGTCATTGAAGAAATTGTTAATGAGGAGCAAGAGCTTGAAAACAAAATAAGTGAAGAACTTGTCAGCACTTTAGAATTAAACCAAGAAGAAATAATCGATGGAAATGATGACATTATTAATAATGATGATGAAGAGAATTTATCTAAAGTTGAAGCAATTATGGAAAGTGAACTATCGCCTGAAGAAAATGTAAATGAGATAGAAGTTGATACCACGGAATTAAATTCAAATCAAGTTGAAGAAGAATTAGCAATTGAAATGTCAAATGAGCAAGTGGATGCTGTCGTTGAAAATGAAAAGCCAGAAACAGATATTTCAATTGAGGGATGTGAAAATGAACAAACTGTTGAACAAAGCGAAGAATCAAAGGCAGATGAGCGAGCAATGTCTCAAGAAATTTTAGAAAATAATAAACAAGAAGATGCTGTATTTGATGAGCTTAAGGAAACTCAAACAGTTGATATATCGGGAAATAATGAGGGTGAAATATTAAAACCAGATGATGCTGAATTAGAGCAAGTGTCAGATGAAAAAATAGTCGAACATCACTCTAAGGAAAATGTAGTAGACAATTCTGATGAGAATAATGAAGAGCAACAAGAAGAAATAATCGATGTAGATAAAGCATCACCTACTGATATTGATTACGAAGTACTATGTGAATCAACAAATTCATTAGATAAAATTGAGAACAACGAAGCACCGGAAGTTGTGGACGTGGCATCTCCTACAAATATCGATTATGAAGAACTATGTGAGTCCATTGAATCACCCGAGAAATTGGAATCAAAAGCAACAACTAATGAAAATTCAATTGATGCTGATACGAAATCAATTGACTCAAAAACCAGTTTTGGCAACGAACTCGATGATCAACAAGAATCACAAATTAAGCTTGAAAACATTTTGAGTGATTTTATATCACCTTACGATTTATATGATGAGGTTGTCAACACCCAAGCAACATTTATGAACCAAAATGAGAGCGAGACTCTTGTAGACGAGAATGATGAACTAGAAGAAGCTGCTGTGAAAATTCAATCAGCTTTTAGAGGTCATAAAACCAGAATGGAAATTAAATCACAGCACGATACTGTAAAAGAATCTTCTGAAACTGAATCAGCTCCAAATGCTGAAGAAAAAGAAGAAGTAGTAGACGATGATATTAAAAATATGGTTTTAGACGATGAAATGGAACAAGCAGCTCTGAAAATTCAATCCTCATTCCGAGGTCACAAAGTAAGAAAACAGCAGAAAAATGATGAGGACAAAAAGGATGAAGATAATATCCATAGCGATGAACCAGTAGAAATTTCTTTAGATGATAGAAGTGAGGAGCAAATAGAAAAAATTACGAACCCAGAGCTTTTAGATTTAAGCGAAAAAGATGAACAAACGAATGAAAACGATGAAATTAGAGATGAAATTTTAACTCCTGATAAGGACGAATCTGAGATCCCAGAAGAAAACAACGTACCTTTTGATGACATCCCATACCCAAAGCAAGAAAATTGTAATGCAGATGAAAACCTAGAGCCAAATCTTTCCGAGGAAAAAGTCGAGGAAAATGATTCAAAGAAATTGTCTAATGACGAGGAAAATAATGAAATAGACGATATGATATTAGATGAGGAAATGGAGGATGCGGCATTAAAAATTCAAGCTGTTTTCCGCGGGCATCAAGTGCGAAAAGAAAAATATTCCAACGCCACAAACGATACAGAATTGTCAAAACAGGATGAAAGTACGAACAATGAAACTATCGTAATCGAGCAATGTTCTGAAGGAAATGAAGATACCCAGGATAATGATGAAAATGAACAGCAAGACACGAGTGCGGATGTTGACGAAATTCAAGAATGTGAAGCCGCAGAGCAAGAGAATGAAACGGAAGGTAAATATTTTGAAACCATATTCGATATGATAATCGCATTTAAACAAAGTCTGTATGTTTTTGTACAAACTTTCTTCGAAAATGGATTATTTTTGATCATTTTTTCATGTTTCAAAAATAATCTCTTTAAAACAATGTTTTTATTATACAGAAACTGAGGAAGTGAATGAGGCTGAAGAAGTCAATGAAAATGAAGAAGAAACCACAGAAACTAATGAACAAGGTTAGAAGAAAAAAAAAACCTTTCCATAAAAAGCTAGTGTCATTTGAATCTGTAGAAAAACTTTATTGTGGGTCAGGTAGCAAGACATAGTTTCTATATTAAATAAGTCTCTAACAGTATTGCAAATGTAGATGTCTACACTAGATGAAGAATGTAGATTCTCCAATAGTTTTTGTCTAGCTAAGAAACTTTCTTCATAAAGATCGATTCTACATGAAGATAGAAAATCTAATCTACACAAAGATTATTTCTACATAAAGAATCTGTCTACATAAAGATTCGATGTAGATGTCTACAATTCTACATTTTTTCCAGGTCTACATCAGAGAAGAATGTAGAATTGTAGACATCTACATCGAATCTTTATGTAGACAGATTCTTTATGTAGAAATAATCTTTGTGTAGATTAGATTTTCTATCTTCATGTAGAATCGATCTTTATGAAGAAATTTCTGTCTCAGAATTTATCTGATCCAGACAAATAGCCAGAATGCAACACTGGTCTCTAACGTCAATTATCCTTTATGAGCTTTTCAACTCTAAATTTAAATGTACATGACTAAAATGATGCTGGGTTATAAGTCCAAAAACTATAAGTCCAGAGATTATAAGTCCAGAAAATCAAAGTCAATAAAGGTTTATAAGTCCAGATACAAATTGCACCTGGACTTAAAAACCTCACGTGCAGTTTATAAGTCCAGGTACAGATACAGCTGGAATTATAAACTGCACGAGAGGTTTTTAAGTCCAGGTACATTTTATATCTGGGCTTATAAACCTCACGTGTGGTTTATAATTCCAGAAAATTTATAAATTTTACTTATAATCTCTCAGTGCGATTATAAATCCAGATACATTTTTCTGGACTTATAATCTTTGAAAATTATTTGATATAATTTCAAATTTTTATATTCATACCGTATTCACGTGTGAATCTATTGATTTTGTTCAGATTGAAAAATCAGTTTTTTGCATTCTGTGAGAAAACAAAGCAAAGAGGATTTTGTTTCCCCTTTTATTCTTGTATTATTTATATTTTAAATGTTAACATCCAGAGCGAAAAATGTGATTTTTATAAATTTTTACACGCTACTGTACCTTGTTTTCTATTCAATCTTTTTGTAAAAGGTAAAATCATAGTCAAAACCAGCAGAATTTACGAAAAATTACATTAACTGTAAGGACAGCTAAGCACTTGTCTAAGCTATAAACACCATCTGTATTTACAACTGTTTTTACTTATACACATTAAACTACAGCTGTAAATTGATTTTTACGTAACGACGTAAGTTCATCTGTAATCTACATTTGTAATTTTAGTACAGCTGTAATTTGATGCTAAATATTATAGGGTAAAGATTACTATCAAAAAAGTGCGCAAATTTCAAAATATTTTTGCGCAAATTTTAAAATTTCTGCGCATATTTCAAAATGAAAACTTAAATGTCAATTTTCTCTGAATTGATGCAGCACAAAAACCTTTACATGATCAAAAATAAAAATATCGACGACTCTCAACATTTCAAGACCATTAGTAGGTCACAATGTCAATTCGTCGATTAGTTACAAGCGTTTGAAAATTCCAAGTCTGAAAACACGCAAATTTCAAAATGATTTACCCTATATGGCACTTTAGAGGAAAAAAAAATCAGAGAAATGTGAATTCTTTTTGTGAAGTTTTCAAAAATTCATTTGAAGAATTACTTTAAATGAAAAAATTTAAAATAATATCAAATAATTTTCAAGGATTATAAGTCCAGAAAAATGTATCTGAATTTATAATCGCACTGGGAGGTTATAAGTAAAATTTTTAAATCTTCTGGAATTATAAACCACACGTGAAGTTTATAAGTCCAGATATAAACTTATAAACTGCACGTGAGGTTTTTAAGTCCAGGTGCAATTTGTATCTGGACTTATAAACCTTTATTGACATTGGTTTTCTGGACTTATAATTTTCTGTGCACTATTTTTGTATCTGGACTTATAATCTCTGGACTTATAACCCAGCATCGACTAAAATTATATTTACTTTAAAGACTATGTGTTGGTCAACATATATAGCACATCCTAACCCCATCTCTTTTTTCATAAAACATGACCAGCTTGATGAATTTAATTTTTTGAAAAAGGCTTGCAAAATTAGGAGAGTAAAAAAGTTCACGTACTGTTTACACACGAGTTTAGAGATATATATTTTCTAACCGTACATCCAAATTAGTAATAACAACCCAGAAAATAATCTATAGCATATTTAACAAGAACAAAGTGTTCATATAATCACAAAGTTTAACTAGAATCCCATTTTTTCTATTAAAAAAGATAGTAAAACAACATTATTTTTTAAAAAAAATAAAAAATAGGAGGTGATGACCCTGATGAACCAGAACAGGCTGAAGGAGAGAGTTCAGAACAGCAACAAAATAACGATGACGATGATGTAGCAAATATGGTCCTCGATGAGGAAATGGAGCAGGCTGCATTGAAAATTCAATCTACATTTAGAGGCCACAAAGCACGTAGTGAGGTGAAGCCTAAACAAGAAGTAGAGGCTAGCAAAGAAGATTCAGTTCAAAATATCGACGATGAAATTGCAAATATGGTTCTTGATGATGAAATGGAACAAGCCGCTTTGAAAATACAATCAGCATTTAGGGGAAATAAGAGTAAAAAGGAAGAAACAACCACACAAGAAAGCAAGGAAGAAGAAGAGGAAGAGAATAAAGAAAAAGAGAAACCAGAAGAGGAGAAAAATGAGCCATCAAGCTCAGGTGAATCGTCTGAGAAAACGGCAAAGCAATTGCAAGACGAAGAGGACATTGCGAGTATAGTCATGGACGATGAAATGGAGAAGACCGCATTAAAAATTCAATCCGCTTTTCGTGGTAAGATTAAGAGAAAGACTCCAAAGGATGGTTTAGAATCATATGAATCATCTGCTGATGATTATAATGCCGACGCTGAAGAGAGCTTGCAAAAGTCGGACGAAAATGTTGGAGATATGTACGAATTTTTCAGTGCTAGTGTTGAATGTGATGATGAGGACGAAAGAGGTAATAACTCGTATGATGATGACGACTATAACGAGTATTTGGCAAAGCGAGAATCATATGCAAACGATGGCAGCTATTCTATTGATAGATATAATAATACTGGAATGGATGCATATAACGAAACAATATATCCAAGTGATAATGATAATGATATTGACTTGATGCATGGCGGTGGTATTTTCCCAGAGACATCAGGCGAATCGGGCACATTAGAGTCATTTGCAGGATATTTAAGTGAGGATAATAATAACAATAATGATCCACCAGAAGACAAAAGGGAATTTAGCAATCGCATGAGTGAGTCCTCGTTAAAAGATGACGATACTAAGGAATTAATTGAGCAGAAATCTGAGGAAAAAGTCATAGAAACTTATGATTTCAACTCGAATAAAGATTCAGCAGAAGCTTTATATTATTCATTGAAGAAAAACGAGATCGAAGCACAAAAACGCTTTGAATCTGATACATCACAAGATATGAATGACTTTCAAAGCGAAATGAACGAAAAGAACGATAACGAAAGCCTTGAAAAAGAAGAATATATTCCAATGGATGATGATGATGACGATGACGATGTTGTTGTAAGTCCATCAAACGATGTTCAAAAATTAAAATATGGAATGAGTATGGATGATAGATTGCTTGGCTCTATTTTAAGTCAAGATTATACAAAGGGACGAAAAATGTATCCAGATGAGTCATTTGATCCCTTATTAGAGGAAGCAATGAGCAGCAATTATAGTGTTCTAGAGAAAATGAATGAATATTCAAAGAGCGGCGACGACCGAAAAATCAATGACAATAATGATGGGGAAGAAGATCAATTTGACGATTTCTTTCCTGGTAATATTCGATCGAAAATAATGGCTTCATCTATTTCAATCGCAGACTCGGACTATTTCGATCCAACAAACAACAAATCAATTATTGACGATGATAGAATTCGAACGGCTCTTGAAACAATTCATTCAACTGATTCGGAATCTACAATTGGATCTGCAACAACTAAAATACAAGCTGGCGACAAGGGCTTGATTACTTATCGTAATAAAACTTTTCAATATTCTTCAATTGGAAATGCTGCAATTGATAAATCTCTTGATGAATTTATACAGTCACAAGAACTAAAGATTGATAGATTTGAAGAAGAACCAGAAGGATACAACAGTCCACCGCCAAAGAAACAAGAAAGTGCTGATGATTTTACAGACGATACATGCACAGAGTCCGAAAAAAGGCCAACAATGGCTGGAATTATAGAAATCAAGCTTGAGCAAAAGAACTTCCTTACTATTGATGAACGTCGCAGAACATTACACAGAGAAGATGCCATTCAGAGAAATTCAACAAGATCTGTCGACGAAGACCCTTCGAAATCTGCAAACGCTTCACATGACAAGAATCAGAATCAGATGCAAACAGAAACAACAACAACATCTGTTCAAGGCCAAAATTCTGTTATTGATACTGAAATTGCTGTGCCAGGTAATATAGGCATACAATATGCGTCACAGAAATCAAATATTTTATTTATTAACTTACAGTTCTCGAGAAACCCAAAACTAATGTCAACATGAAGCCCGTAAAGGTTCCAATGCGTCGTCAAAAAACTATGCCTGTGCAAATTGAAAGCAACGTTATAAGAGTTCTGCCAAAGCACTTGAGAAAAAGGTACGGGCTATTAAAAATTCATTGTTCTGTAAATTTAATTTAATTCCTTTTTGGGTATTTTGATTCCATTTTATTTTTTTCCCACAATTAGGATTAAAAGTGCTGACAGTGATAAGAAGAAAAGGATTCAAAAGCAATAAATGGAGGGATAGTTCGTCCATATGATGGCAATTTCATGATTTATAAATGTTGAGAATATAGAAAAATATATTTATGCTATCAATTACTAAAAGTCGATTTCACTAAAGCTGATAATTTTAGTGCAGTTGCCGCCCAACCTTCAACCTTGAGATAATGTTAGGGATTATCTTAGATAAAATTATCAATTACGTTACGGGAGATTATCTCGGATTAAAAATAATCTAGTTTAATGAAATTGACCCTTAGAGCTTTAAATATTACAGAAATACTGCACGGTAACATTAGGGGTTGTTCACATATGATGTTCATAGTTTCGCGAGTTCTGAAGTTTTGTGAAACTTTTATCTTTAGTCTACTTTGACTAGATGGTTGGCTTGTAGCATTTCGGAATTGAAATTTTGTGACAATGTGATTTGCTTATAAACGTGATAAGTGAACGACTCTATAATCTAGTCAATAAAACTAGCAAAAATCTTCTAAATTAGGTGAATTGAAAATTACAGAAAAATTAAATATGAAAAGAGTTTATTTGACAACATAATTATGAAAGTTAAATATTTGATCGTATATTTACTTAAACAAATTATTAATACAAAATATTTAACAGTTATTAACACAAATAAAGTACATACTCACCCAAAAAATACATCAATTTTTAATTAATTAATTTATTTGCATTACTTTTGAGACTTTTCAAGCATCCCCTTTAAAACATCAATTTTAAACTCGTATTCCTGCTCAATTCTCTTGAGCTTTTCGCTATACTGTTGCTCCCTTTCTTTTAACGTATCATTAACTCTCGATTGAATCTTTTCTACAGCTTCAGCATACCCATTTTTTATACGCTCGCATTCACTACGATAATACTTCTCCTTATCATCGGAATACTATTTGAAAGAATTATTTTTTAATTTTAATGAGAACTTAATGCCATAAATTAAATCAACGAACCTGCTTGTAATTCTGGGCCGTTTTCTTTGCTCCCTCATACTTTTCTTTAATCTCTTTATACTTTTCGTTGAGCTCCTCAATAATTTTTGTACTGTCTTGTTGAAGTTTCTTTAATTTCTGAAGTGTAACCTCCTCTTTTTTCATTAAAAGCTTCTGTTCATCCTCAATTTGATGCTTGAGGTTCTGAATAAGCTTACGTTCATCATCAATCATGTCGATTTGTGAGTTAAGTTCGGCCACATGCTGTTGATATTTCTCAATATTTTGCTTATAAATCTCATCACGTCTATTTAAAGCTGCTTCAAATTCCTGACGTTCATGAACAATTGTGAATTTTAAAAGATCCAGTTGCTCGGTGGCTAACTCAAGATTAGCTGCTTTATTCTCAAGCTCATTCGATAATACTGCTATGTCGTTCTGCAACTTTTTTATGTCTTCCACAAACCTCTTTTCAATTACTTTGATTTGATTCGCAAAAATCCTTGCCATTTCATCTCTAATTTTAGTTTCCTTGTAATTTCTCTCACTAAGATTAATTTCTTTGGTTTCTGATTCCTCCGTGGAATTACTAATAGCTTGAGATGTATTAGTAGATGAGTCCTTGGATGCAGAGGCAGCTGAATCTTTTCGATTTGATTTTGATCTCATAAAAGTTTCAAATTCCTTAGCTTTTTCCTGAAGCTTTTCAATTTCTTTGTCTCTCAAATCTTGGAGCTTTACTTTTGTTTGTAGTCGGTCGATAGTCTCTTGTGCTTCATCCAAGTCATGTTTATAATTATTCATCTCTGTCAAATACTCTCCGTTGCAATTTTGTAATTGCAGCTGGTACAATTCAAGCTAAGGAATTAAAGTTTTAAAAAATTTCATCATTAGTCATTGTCATTCTTAAATAAATTAATTCAGGCTGCTCTCGGATAACATCCATTAAAATGATTTTCATAAGTCTTTAGAACTTTGAAAAGTTGCATAATTAATAATACAGAGATACTTACATTTCCAATTTTCATCGAATATTCTTCACACTTCTTGCAATCTGCTGGTTTGTCGTTTTCTAATTGAATTGACTTGTTTAATTTATCGACCGTGACTTGTTTATTTCTAGTTTCAACTAGTTCATTGGTCAGTTCTTCTAATTTCTTCTGTTCAATGTCTAATTTATTGGAAATATCTGATTCAGCTATTTTAAGCTCGTCTATCATTCTTCTAAGTTCTTCGCATTCCTGTGTTTTATGTTCAAGTTCCTTGTACATTTCATCTTGTTCCTTGGAACTTGTATTGTCACAAGCTCGCAATTCATTAAGTTCTTTTTGTACAGAATTAAGTTTTGTTTCGAAACGGAATGCGTCCTCACGATATTTATTAAGTTCTATTAAAGTTTTGCTTTCATCCTTTTTCAATTCCTCTATTTCCTTATCTTTTTCAGCTAGTTGCATTTCTAAAATTTTAATTTCTTCACGTTTTCTTTTTATCGAGTTGATTGATCTACACAATTCTTCCTTGACCTTATTCATTCGCGCTTCTGGAGTCATTGGCGTGCTATTAATATTTTTAAGTGGATCTCGATGTAAGAATTTTGAAATTTCGGTAAATGACTGATTATTTCCATCACACTCAATAATTACACTATCCATCATTTCAATTTCTGATGTTTGTTCCTGAACTTTCTTTTGCAATTTATTAACCGTTAATGAGAGTTCTTCATTTTGATACTCCATTGTCTTGAGTGCATTTTGTAATCGTCGATTCTCGTGTGCCATATCTGGACGGGCTAAGAAATCTTGACATTGTCTCTGTGCTTCTTCAAGATTTCGATTGAGTATATTAATTGTTTCACTTTTCTCTATCAAAATTGCTTCTCTTGATCTTTGTAGCTCTTTATATCTTATTTCTAAATGCTTAAATTCATGCTCTATATCATCATTTTTATTCTTTAATGTTTCAATTTGTTGTTGCATCATTGCCATCTGCGCATTATGTCTCTCTTGGGCTTGTTTAATAATTAAATCTGTACTTCGCTCGGCATTAAACAAAACATTCTTCTCGACCATCCCATATTTAGTTTGTACATCTGACAGCATTATTTTTGTGCTTTCTATTTCACCCACTAATCGCTCATTCTCATTTTCTAGCGATTTTATCTTTGACATCAAATTCTGATTTTTCTCATTTAATTCAATTACTTTTCCCTTGTTCTCGACTAATAGCTCGTGGGTTTGATTTCTATTCATAAGAGCCTGAATTGTTTAGATAATAAAATAAATTAGTGTAATTAATGGTTGTTTACAAAATTTGTATAAACTTACTCGCTCTTTTTCAGCTTCAGCTATGGACAATCTCTTCTCGTACTCGTCGATTGCTGCTTTATTCATTTTACGCTCATTTGCCAGCATATTGCTTACATGTTCAAGTTCACGGCTTTTTGTTTCCACCAAATTGCGTAAGTTACTAAAGTCATCACGCAGTGGAAACTCTTTATTGTAGCTGTTTTGGATACTTAAACTATGATCATTTCTTGTCGAGTTTATAGTTCCATTATCGTCATCTTCATCCGTATCAGTCATATTGCCAAATTCTTTTTCCAATTCAGCTTGCAGCTTAAAAATAGATTTATCGATTTTTTTTTTTTTCAATGCCACTCACTTATTTATAGTCTTTAAACTTACCTCTTTTTGCCGGCGTCTCTGATCTTCAATAGCTTCCTCTTCTTCGATTCTTGGCTGATTATTATCAATATGTATGGACGGAGCTCCATTGAAAATCGTCAATTCAGGCTGTTTAGAGTTCATCATTAGGACATAAACTTACGAATTCCTTAACACTGCAATAAAACATAAACAAACGTTAGTCAATTTTCATGTTTTCTCAATTTCTTAATCAAATACTATGATTTTCATTGATTTTTGATGATCATATTGTTCGATCTTGTGCTAGGAAGCTCTTACCATCAAAATAAAAAACTAATATACCATAATTCACTAATAAACTTAATAAAATTAAACGCACAAAATGATTCGTTTTTTTAACTTTTGAAAAATTGTGAATGCGTCTTTAGATTTATGGAGCACAACTTTTGATCATCAATTTTATTGTGAATTTGCAGTTGTTGTATGTATATTTTCAGGTAGTAAACAATAGATTATTGTGAGATCATAATAAGAAAGTTTCAGTTGCTAATATGATGTATTTAAGTATGAATTAAAATTTTCGTTTGTAACGGTGTTAAAATATTTGAAAACAAGTTCTAAAATAATCATAAAATGCATCCCCTTTTAGTACCAGAGTTGTGAAAACAGTGAATAACATCAAAGTTTGCCAAATTCTCATTAATACATCAACTTTACAGATTAAAATAATCAGTAGGGACTTAAGTAGCAATAAGAGAAGTTATATTGGGCACAAAAGAAGTCTAGTAGGTTTACAAATTGAAAACACGATTACCAACTTGGTATTTTGGAGGGCTTAAAAAATAAAACTACGATATTTGCAGTACTATTAGGCAGAGCTATCAGGTGAGTTTAATTAAAATAACTAAATTCAGACGTATTAGGAACCTTAAATTGTGTCAATTACCAACATAAGTGCATAATTAATCAAAATAAGTTGAAGAAAATCATGGAAAATGAGCAATGTTGTGGAAAATTGAAAATTAAGTTTTTTTGTCATTGAAACAATAAAAAAAACGTAATTTGAAAAAAAAAATCATAAATTAGCTCAGTTCCAGAAATTAATTTTCCACGATTGAACTGTAATAATCTATTAAATAGTATTGATTCTGAATATATAAGTCGATTAGCTACTCTCTAAACTGTAATATTATTTAATTCAAGTAGATTGAGACGTTTTTGCGTAAAAAAAGAAAGAAAGATAAATATATCTTCAAAATGGTCGATTTTTCCTTAATATGTACTTGATTTCATCATTTTATAATATTCCACATGCCCAAAACGGAAAATTTAACATTAAAGTTGGGCAATTGATTGAAGTTAAATTAATTTTTGAAAGGATAAGCTATGATTTGTTTTTTGGGGAAGTGGAAAATTTTTTATTGTCGTGAAAAATCGATAAATGATTTTCTAAAAGTGCTTCATTCACAGATGTTTCTGAATATTCTTTGGATTAAAAATCAATAAATTATTAATTCATTGTGACTGATAATGACATAAATCACTACATATCAGTAAAGACTAGTCTAGATAAATATAGAATATTTAATTTTTTTGAAATGAAAAAAAAATCACTAAAATGGCGATGAGGTAAAGTTCAAAAGTGATGTGAAGCAACTAAAGGGCTTAATCAATGAATCATGTTATAGTCATATAATAATTCTAAGAATAAAAATGTCCCAACTTTAATTCCTTTTTCGTGATCATTTCGAGAGTAATGCTCAAAAAGATGTTTTGTGCTTAGGAAAAATCGTGTTAAAAGTAATGTGATGTAAATACATAAATTTTCTTTGTCTTTTTACTGTGTTCTCAACATAGGCAGGCATATAAAATGATACGTAGTTCGTAATCATTTTTGTCAATGATTCAAGGCTTTAGGAAAACAATTAGACATTTGTAAACGATAATAGTCTCAAACTTAGCAAGTAATCTTTTTGCTTTGTCAAGTGCAAAAAAAATGTTATTTCTGAAAGAATTTTCATATTTGCAATACAGACAGGCATGCAAGCAGGCAATAGTCTCTTTAAAATAAGACACCTACAGTTACACAAAATACTCTAAAAATGTTTATTTAAACATGATAGTAGGTTGAAAATGTGTGATGAAACAGAAATATATAAGTTAAATTGTGTTGTGAGCATTGAAAATTGATATAAAGTTTTGTGATGATGATTATCCTTGTAGTTATGCACCTATATCGCATCTCTTTGTGATTTTTCGTTCCCATTCATTTCGTTTCGGAGTCTTTATTTTTATTATTTATTATTATTTTCTTTTTCATTCCTGTTTTCAAGATAAGATTTGTGTAACTGTGTTATATGTTCGTGTAGAATCATTCATCGAACAAGGGAAAAATTGCTGTTCGTAATGGTTCGAATACTTTTTTTGTGCATTTATTTCTCTTCAACTCTTTAAAAACGTAACAACTGAATGAATTTAGTTTAAAAAAAAATCACTCATAGCACAGTACACTTGAAAAACGAACACAAAAAAAACCTCATCAGCAACTTCCGAATGAATCTCTCAAGGTCTCACACTCGTGTCTTATGTTATAAAGCAAATTTTCAATCATTTTCAAAATATTATATATATACACACTGTGCTCCTCTCCGCTTTATTATTTCTGTGTCTCTGTTACTTTTGCTAATCGTTTTCGGTCAAATGATGAAATTTCTCTAGAAAAAGGATTGAACTTATATGTCTGTGAAACGAAATATATGTTAATTGTTATTGTTATTTACATTTTAAAACGGAAGAAGGAGCAAGGAATAATGACATGAATAGGGTCACTAACCCTTAGCACTCGATCGAGGGAAGAAAATATCCATTTAAAAAAAGATACCTTCATAACAATAAATTTGTGTTTTACATAGACACATGTATATAATATAATTTATACATTTCAAGTTTTCATTCGATAAAAAAAGAGTGCCTGCCTGCCTGCCTGATCGTGTGTATGGTTGAAATGAAAAGTTAATTTTACATAAATCGAGTTTCGTATATTATATGGAAACGGGCCACCACATATATGTACAAACATGAAAGTGGACTTATATAAAAGTATAGTAGTTGGAAGAATTAATACATACTACATAGGGATCTATTTATACATACGCTCGTGTATATAATGTACATGTATATATTTCGAGAACGTTTCATCGAGTATAGGGTTTTGTGAAATTTGAGCAGTTCATTTTTTTGATTCTTAACAAAAACTTGTGTTCTTAAAAAATAAAATCGTACGGATATAACATTCAATTGACATAGTTCCATATTTTTTCTTTGTTCATTTCAGTTTTTCATCTCATTAGTAAGGCATTCAAAATAAATAAAAGTGTTTAACAAGTGAATTATAGCATTTGCGGATATTATATTTGTGATATATAAAGGAAAAGAATTGATAGAGCCAGTAAACATTAATTAAAGTGATTTCAATAAGGAAAAAAAAACATACATCGGAAGAAAATTCTTGAATTTCAATATTCTCAGATAGGGAAGAAAGGGAATGTTTAATGGCAATCAGCAATATTCGAACAAGTGTCGCTTATGGCCGAATCTGTTAATAAAAAGTTGCTCTCTGCATTGACGGAGGGGCATGAAAAAGAATTAAGATCATCGGCAAGAAAAATTAGTAAAACATCAAACACATCAGCTACTGGAAGTGCAAATAAAAATACAACAAAGTCAACAAAAATACAGAAGAATACAGTCAACGATTCCGGCAGTGGCAAACGTAAGTTCTCATTATTCCTAACATGCTATAAAGTTGTATTTTAATTAACTCAATTTTACATCTCCATTAATTATGCAATTTGTAGAGAATAATAGTTTGAGATCTGAATCATCGAGATCTCCAACAATAAACAGTAATCGAACACCACGAAAGCGACTCTTGAACATTTTATTAAACTCAAATAGTACAACAGAAGAAGATACTGAAGAAGAAGTTTTACCTTCAGTCTCTGGAAATAGACGAACAAAACGACGTCGACGAAATTTCTCAAGTTCTACGTCATCATCCTATACATCTTCATCATTAACAACAAATTCAAATAATACAGGCAGTGTGTCAGCAGCTCAAAAGCAACAAGCTTCCTCGGTCGATCAGGATTTAATAGCTTTTCGTACTCGCTCAAGAACACACTCAGTTGAGCACTTAGAAATTGAAAGTCCATCAAGAGCCAATAATAGCTTAGATAGTAGCAAGCTCAAACAGTCTGCTGGTCGTTATTCGTCATCAAAACAACAACAGCAACAGAAAGTAAATAGTGATAAAGACGTGTGTGAAGAGAATTCTCATTTAAGTAGTAGTGATAAAGTCGTAACTAATAATAATAAAAAGACAATATCTGAATCAGTGAATAATATTAATAATAGAAAGTCAAAGGAACAATCAAGTAATTATCAAAACACTACAAATAATAATCTAAATAAAAGTAACAGTGCAAGTGCAAGTGCTGATAATCGTCAGTCACAGCAAAAAGCTTCCAGAAAGTTGCGGTCACACAAAGTTGATACGACAGTAGGAAAGGAAAAGCAATCTGTACCAAAACATAATTTACGTCGTAAAGCATCATCGCCTGGTGTCACACCAAAGAAACGTCAGCGAATAACTGATATTAATAATCGGAGCACGGCTGAGCGAAATACAGGATTAGATAATAGTAAAGTAGACTCGACTAACTCAAAGACACCCTTGAATCTGGGGGCACGACTAGCAAGAGGTAGGGAGCCCCATACTTTCGATCAAGAATTGTTACAGCCATCCACAAGTAATCAACAACAAAATTTGGGGCACCCACCAACATCGTCACATAATCTTAGACGAAGCTCTCGTGGAAAATCTTCAACAACGGGTTCTTGTGTAAGTAGTCATTCCAAATAAATTTAAATTTATCTCAACCGTTGACACGAATTCAAATTTTTAAAAACCACTAGAAATTGTTCAGTAGTTCAACGTTCTTTTCATTTTGTTTCATTCGAATTTCTGAAACCCGTTAAAGTTCATTTTATTTTGGTTGAAATTTTTGAAACGCACTAAAGTCCATTTATTTTTGGTTCAGTTTAAATTTTTGAAAACCGTTAAATTACTCAAGTTTTTGAATTTTCAAAATCCGTTAATTATTTCAAAAGTATTAATTCCTTGCATTTAATAAAATATTATCAACAGGTTTCATCGTCAGCTTCCACTAATACTGTAGCATCGAATCCGAGAAACGGAGGAAAGAATAATAAGCATCAGTTAACAAGTGGAAGCGACAACGCAAGTACTTCCCAAAGTATTCCGACAATGGCAAATAATGATGGCTCACAGTCGCAACAGCAACAACAGACATCATCGTCAGCTCCAACATTCTTATTCTTTCATAAGGCAAGTGGAGCAAATAGCAATACAAATGAAGCTACAACAATTTATGTTCCTACTCCATCGACATCATCGACTGTAAATCCATTGACAAATAATTTGACTGCAGGAACGTCTACAAGTGCACAGGCACAACAGCCAGGAACGTCAGGAACGCTTCATCCAGATTCAGAAAGTGATGATAGTGAAGTAGGAAGACTACAAGCATTATTAGAGGCCAGAGGATTACCTCCTCAATTATTTTCAGCTCTTGGACCACGAATGCATCATCTTTTACATCGTACAATGGGAACTAATAGTACGTCGAAAGCTCAGCAGTTATTACAAGGATTACAGTGCAATGATGAAAGTCAACAATTGCAAGCAGCAATTGAAATGTGTGAAATGTTAGTTATGGGAAATGAAGATACATTAGCAGGATTTCCAATTAAACAAGCAGTTCCAGCTCTCATTACTCTCGTTCGTATGGAACATAATTTTGATATGATGAATCATGCTTGTCGTGCATTTGCTTACATGCTAGAAGCTCTTCCTCGTTCGTCTGGAACTGTTGTTGAAGCCATTCCTGCTTTACTCGAGAAATTACAAACAATTCAGTGTATGGATGTGGCTGAACAGAGTCTTACAGCATTAGAAATATTATCGAAACGTCATAATAAAGCGATATTACAAGCAAATGGCATATCAGCTTGTCTTACCTTCCTGGAATTTTTCTCGACGAATGCACAACATGCTGCTTTAGCAATCACAGCAAATTGTTGTCTCAATTTACATACTGAAGAATTTCAATTTGTTAAAGATTCATTACCGCTATTAGCACGTTTATTGTCACAACACGATAAGAAGAGTGTCGAACGCATTTGTAATGCATTCTATCGGCTCATTGATAGTTTCCAACATGAATCAGTGATTTTACAAGAAATTGCCAGCATGGAATTGCTTAAAAATTGTCAACAATTGCTCGTTGTTACACCGCCAGTTCTTAATACTGTAACTTTTACAAATGTCGTCCGAATGATGAGCGTTATGTGTGCCAATTGTCCTGATTTGGCGATTACGTTGCTCAAAAATGACATTGCATCGACTCTTTTATATTTACTAACGAACTCAGCAACGCGCAAAAATGGTGAAGTTGATTTAGTTCAACGAAGTCCATCGGAATTGTACGAAATTACATGCTTAATTGGAGAATTAATGCCTCGATTACCAACTGACGGCTTATTTTGTGTTGATACTCTCCTTGAACGTTCGAGTAATGCCACACAAGATGCAATTCAATGGCAATGGCGTGATGAAAAAGGTGTTTGGCGACCATATTCATCTATTGATTCGAGAATCATTGAAGCTGCACACCAAAATTCTGATGAAGAAATCAGTTTGTCTACAATGGGACGTACTTATACAATAGATTTTCATGCGATGCAACAGATTAATGAAGATAGTGGAACAACACGTGCTGTACAAAGAAAAATCAATACACATTTAGAGCAGCAACAAATGATGATTTCGAGTGCCTCAAATGGTGGAATGGATAATGAAGGATTCTCTGGAATGATGAATTTATCAACAAGACCACCAAATGCAATACGTGACGCTAGAATTGCTTGTTTAAAGGAAGAACGTGGACTTGCAGCTGAATTTATTAAGAATTTATTCTCTGTACTCTATGAAGTTTATAGCTCATCGGCTGGTCCTTCTGTACGCTACAAGTGTTTAAGAGCATTACTTCGTATGGTTTACTTTGCTAATGCCGATTTATTAAAGGATGTTTTAAAGAATCAACTCGTTTCATCACACATTGCTGGAATGATGGCATCAAATGATCTCAGAATTGTTGTTGGAGCTTTACAAATGGCTGAAATATTAATGCAAAAATTACCCGATGTTTTTGGCGTTCATTTTCGACGTGAAGGTGTTTTACATCAAATTAATCAGCTTGCTGATCCATTATTTCCAATTTGTTCTGCTCCATCACCAAAATCGAATAATGTAGCAAATAGTGCCCCGGCAAGTGCAAATATTACAACTCCAATGCCTCAATTTGATTTCGATAATGTTGCGTCAACATCAAAGGGCATTAATTCAACTAGTTCATCTCATGTTAAGAATTTGAGTGCATCATTGAATGCTACAAAAGCAATGACCATGTCGATGCCATCAACAAGTGCATCATTATTACAGTCTGCTCAAATAGTTGGAACGCCACAGGGTTCGTTTGCAATTAATCTTAATACAGCATCGTCTAGCAATAAATTGATGCCTACAAGTACAATAGATTCACTTGGATGTTCACAAGCTGCATCATCATCCACAACACCATCAAATGGCAATTTATTAATGAATGCTATTTATCATATACCTGAGCCTGGTTCGCTTAGAAATTATCACAGCTATCATCCAGGACTACACGGAGGTAATATATATTCAACCACTATTCAGCAGCCAAATAATATCTTCCAAACAGTCGTTGCATCAGCTCCGCCCTCGGTACATCATCATCACCACCATCATCATCATACTGATCCTAGTCTAGTTCCGTCTTATGCACCAATTGAACCTCCATTAGCCAATAATGATCGCAGTGGAAGCTCTGGAAGTAAAGTATCTGATATTTTGAAAAGAAAAGTTCCGCCCAAACGAAAGTCTCAACAGAATAACAAGTCAAAGAATCGTAATGATGAACAGGCACAAAATAATACTGCAGTTGCAATTCCAACGGCTGGATCATCATCAAATGTTGTACAAGATTTTATCAATAAAGCAAGTAATTTGGGAACAACAGGTGGACGAAATACACCATCAACAAGTTCCTCGTCGTCACGTTCGAGGTTTTCAGGTGCATCTTCAAAGACTTCATCGTTTTTGGCATCTCTTAATCCCGTTCGTTGGGGACGTACTTCATCCCATTCAACATTCAGTGGATCAAGCAGCTCGAGTAAAGATAATGGCAATAATTTAAATAAGAGTGCATCAAATTCAAATCTAATTGCTGCTGGAAATCGTGAAAAGGCTCGTCAATGGATTCGTGACCAATCCATTTCATTTGCAAAGAGATATTCCGATCATGAATCGTCTAGTACACATCCAGCATTGTCTATTTTGGCTCGCTTAACTGCTGCCATACAGAAACTTGATGGATCTTACGATAATTGCTTAAAAGCATTGGAAGAATTGAGAAATATTCTAATTGAAAGCGATATTTCGCCGTTTGAAGTTAATCATAGTGGATTAATTAAAGCAATGCTTAATTTCATGACCAATGAAAATGGAAATGTTTCTCGAAATGATCGTTTACGCTTATTCCTGTTTGTTTTCGCAAACACGCCATTAGATGGAAAGTAAGTCACTCAACACTATTTGTTTATTATTATTTGTACTATACTAATTTGTGCTTTTTTTTCTTATACTCAGTCACAGTGGTTTAGTCAACGTTAATCCCTCAGCATTTAGCTCTTTTGTTTTGAAATTAAATGGATGTGTCACGCAGTTGGAACAATTTCCAGTCAAAGTGCACGATTTTCCAACAGGCTCCGGCAGTGGACGATCGAATACAAGTGCTCTTAAATTTTTCAACACTCATCAATTGAAGGTAAGCCTCCGTTAATCCTGAGATTAATTTTTTAATCCTAGGATTTATATTTGAATTTTTTAAAAACCGTTGAAATTTAAATTCTTCTTTAATCCAAACTTTAGTGTAACCTACAAAGACATCCAGACTGTACAAATCTCCGGCAGTGGAAAGGTGGGGCTGTAAAGATAGATCCCTTAGCATTAGTGCAAGCGATTGAACGTTATCTCGTAGTTCGTGGATATGGTGGAATTCGCACTGACTCAGAAGAAGATTCTGAGGAAGATATTGACAATATTGATACTGCTGCTATGATTAGCATGGTAAGTAAACGAGCTATTCAAGCTCAATTAAGAAGTTATTTAATTATTGTTTATTTTGAAATTCTATAGGGTGGAACGAAGCATAAGCTGCAATTTTTAATTGGTGATCATGTTTTGCCATACACAATGACAGTTTATCAAGCTATACGACAATATTCTCCATTGGTCAACGATCAATCTGAGACAGACACTGATACAGAAACGCCAATTGGTAAATAAAATTGACTTTAAGGTTTTTAATGGATTTATTAAATCACACTGAATAATTCAACAGGAAATGCGAGTATCTGGATTCAACAGCACACAATTTACTATCGTCCAGTTGAGGATAATTCAAATGCTAATGCTAATAAGGCAGGAAGTTGTAGTATTCAGTCAACAACCACAACATTTACGTCATCACGTAAAAATAGCAAGAATTCTGTTGTCAAACTTCAGCAGAATCGTCGTAAACCTGAATTTTGGATTGACGGGTCAGTTCCTGCAATTTTATCGCCATTAACTTCATTCTTGTTGCCAAAACTACCCGACTTGGAAACTGTTGAGGATGCATCAATTGAAGTATTGGCTCTTTTGAGAATCCTTAACGGACTTAATCGTCATTGGGCAACACTCTATTATTCCGTTCCTCAATCTCATATAATCGCTCAGTCTGAATTCATTCATTCTAAGGTAAGCAACTGGATAAACTTTAACTCATTGAAACAGCATTTAAACATTTATAAAATAATTAGATTGCAGCAAAAGCTAGTCGTCAACTACAAGATCCATTAGTGATAATGACTGGGAACTTGCCGACATGGTTACAGGAGATTGCTACATCATGTCCATTCCTCTTTCCATTCGAAACACGCCATTTACTGTTTTATGCAATATCATTTGACCGTGATAGAGCTTTACAGCGACTGATAGACACAACGCCAGACCTTAATTCTGCCGACACATCTGAACGAGTCACTCCAAGATTAGATCGAAGAAAACGTGCCATTTCTCGTGAGGATATCCTCAAGCAGGCAGAAGTAATCATTCAAGTAAGTTGATCCTTAAAAGACTTGAAAAGAAATTTGAATTAATTAAAATATAATTACTTGTTATAGGATTTCGGACATTCAAAGGCATTGCTAGAGATTCAATATGAGAACGAAGTGGGAACTGGATTAGGTCCAACATTAGAATTTTATGCGCTAGTCTCGACAGAATTGCAACGACGAGATTTAGGATTATGGAATGACAATAATGACACATACAAGCATCAACAGTCGGATGTAGTAAAGTCACCATCAAATCAAGTAGCTGATGTATCTGACACACAAATCATGTACATTCATCAACACACAGCATCGTTGAATACGTTGGAAAGTGATATGCGAGGAAATAATAATAGTGATAACATTGTGATGAATAATAATCAAATAAATATGCAAATTGAGCAGCATCATGAGACAGGTGAATCGGAAATTCTGCAAATAACTCGACAGCCTTCCGGATCAGTGATTAAGCATGAGATTGTTCAATATGTGAATGCGTCTCACGGGCTATTCCCGATATCGTTAAGTAAAACTGCAAAGACGTCTCAAATCTCAAGATTGAAGTTTAAATTCAAGTTCTTGGGCAAATTTATGGCTAAAGCTGTGATGGATAGCAGAATGGTAAGACACTAAATTCTCTTACTTAATTGAGAAACTTACTAATCATGCATTTTACTATAGCTGGATCTTCCATTATCGACACCATTTTATCGCTGGATTCTTGGAGAGGAAAATTCTCTGAGCTTGGCTGATTTGAATCAAGTAGCACCAGAAGTTCAAGGAACATTATTACGATTGAATGAAATTGTCAAGAGACGAGAAATTATCCAATCAGACCCAACACTGGACGTTATGGAAAAGACTGAAAAGGTAAATAATTTACTTCCATTTTTAAAGGCTTCTCAAAATTTGAATTTTTGAAAACCGTTATATTTTTTTTGAATCTCAAATGACTTTTTCCTTATTCTATGTAGATTGAAGCATTAGATCTAGATGGATGCTTAATAGCTGATCTCGGACTAGATTTCGTATTACCTGGCTATCAAAATGTTGAGTTACGACGTGGAGGACGCGATATTCCTGTAACAATTCACAATTTGCACCAATACATATCTCTAGTTACTCATTGGTTCTTAGTAGAAGGTGTATCCCGTCAATTTGAATCGTTTAGAGAAGGTATTGTATTATAAATTTGTGTTGATTCAGTCAATTATCTTATTAATGTATGTTTTTATCTTGTTAAGGATTTAATTCCGTGTTTCCAGTCCATCATTTGAGGATATTTTATCCAGAGGAGTTGGAAAATGTATTCTGTGGATCAGGAACTGCAAACTTCCAGAAATGGGACGCAAAAATGCTGGGAGACTGCTGTAGAGCAGATCATGGCTTCACACAAGACTCACTTGCCATTCAATACTTTTACGATATTCTCAGTCAATATAATCGTGATGAACAAAGACTCTTCTTGCAGTTTGTAACTGGAACTCCTCGATTACCGACGGGTGGATTTAAATCATTAACACCACCGCTAACGGTTGTTCGTAAAAAGGTTGATGGAAATCAAAGTCCAGATGAATATTTGCCATCTGTCATGACATGTGTAAATTATTTGAAAATTCCTGAATATTCCTCGCGTGAGGTGATGAAAGAAAAGTTACATATTGCCGCATCCGAAGGAAGCATGAGTTTTCATCTTTCATAAAACACTATTAGAATTCATAATAATAGTATATTTAAACATATTGATATAATCCAAATCCGAAATCTTATTAAGTAGTAGCTTTGAAAAAGTAATAAAACATTATCAACTTGGACATTTTTCTCTCATTTAACGCGTAATCGGAACTGATGAGGTTTTTTTTTCGTATGGATATGAGAAAAAGACATCACTTGATAAGCCTTCGAAAGCAGATCCACAAGAGTAAATAATTGTGTGTATATGTGACTGCACATGAATGCCAAAGGCTCAATGATATAAATTACTGGTTTTTTTACACAAAAATGTTTGGTTTTTTGGTCAAGTGACGTGTGACTATGTTTTGGACATTGTCGGTAACTCTAAAGAGAACTTTAAGTTTAAATTTAATTGAAATATATTTTGATAAGAGTATTTTTATGATTTGTCTTTGAACTTAAGATGATTTATTATGTGCAAATAAGAATTATGGGATATTAATGATAATGATTGTGTGATTTGTAATAATGTTCAGCAGTTCCCCCCGCCCATAAGTAAGCAACTCACAATATAATTATTATCAAATAGAACATAATGTAATCAATCAAGTAAAGAATAAACAATAACCATTTGAAAATTTATCCCTTAAAATATCTTGTTATTTGTGTTCCTCAAATACTTTTCAGACCTCATCATCGTGCCTATTATTGAGATAGCAACACAAATGTCGTTTTCTTTACAGCATACACATATATATTATTTTTACTATTTATTTTCGGAATAAACAAAAATGCATACATTATCATGTCACACTGGACTCTAATTTAAAAAAAAAAGTGGATATGATACATTTTTGGAAAAGTTTCACCATAAGTCTTCGGAGATGTCTCATTTGAAAGCTGACATCAAAACGAGATGATTCCTTGAGTTTTGAGTTTTTTGGTCGATCTGGTGCTGGGTAGCAGGTCCTTAAAGTTGGGTATTTGCGAGTTTTCTGTTTTTTGAGATTCTTTATTCAAACTCAATTTGCACAAAAACTCCTCAACCAAATGAAAAATAGTTTTTGGTTCCTAAACCTGTCATTCCTCCATCTGATAGATATTTTTCAAATATTATGATATACGAAAATATAGATCCTATTATGTGCTTTTAGGAACCAAATTTTTTTATTTGGTTGAGTAGTTTTTGTGCAAATTGAGTTTGAATAAAGAATCTCAAAAACAGAAAATTCGTCTGTACTCAACTTTAAGGACCTGCTCCTCGGCAACAGATGGACGATAAAACTCAAAACTTAGGGAATCATCTCGTATTGATGTCAGCTTTCAAATGAGACATCTCCGAAGACTTATTGTGAAACTTTTCCAAAAATGTATCATATCCACTTTTTTTTTTAAAAATTAGAGTCCAGTGTGATGTTACAATGAATCGTTTTAAAAGAACATCAAGGATATCCAGCCAAGGATGAGTAAGGTGCCTCCAAACGGAGCTAGTCGGTTGTAGCGCTCATCATTAGTCAAAGCTGCATAATAACAGGTTCCAGAGAAAAGTGTCATGCCAGCTAACATCAAAGATCCAGTTAAGTATGGACGTTTTGTTAATGGAGTCGCCAATAATGCAATTGAGTGAAAGAAGTGGTAGCTGGAAGGAAATTAAAGGAATTAAATCATAGTCCTCTATTTCTTTGAAGCATTACCAACAAAAGCATCATGGCTTATAAATGAAAAAAAAAAATCCTACTTTTTTAATCCTAGGATTAATTTAAATCTTGACAACTTAACTGAAGTTGAAAATGGGTGAAAAATCTGGATTTTTTATGTCACATTAGAACTGGTAAATATCTGTGTTATATAATCCCAATAGTGTTATATGTATAAGAGCTTTATTTTTCTGTCGAACCGTATATCAGTACTATAAATATTTGACTGGTATACGGTTCGACAGAAAAAAGTTGTGCATGCACAAAGATATTTTTCCTAGGATTTTTATACACTTTCAACTACACCAAAACATCAAATTTGTAAACTTTGTTACACAATAAAATAAAGCTCTTATATAACACTATTAGGAATTGCAGAGATTTACCAGTTCTAATGTGACATAAAAAAAAACAGATTTTTCACCAATTTTCGACTTCAAACCGCCATAGATTCGCAAAAGTAGCATCAAATGACCTGAAATTTGGCATAGAAGTCTATTTTTATGTCCTCTACAAAAAGGAATTCTCTTTTTTTCAATTTTGCCCCATAGTGCACTTACCGATTAGCAGTTTCAAATATTGCTTTTGGATCACGGTTTGGCTTATTTGGATCTTTAGCCCACGGCTTGTGTGCTCCGTATGCGCCTGTCAAGGACATTAACGGAAATAAATTACATCTTCAAAAGAATCAAATCACGAGTTTACCTAAAATGACAGCAGTAGCTCCAGAAAATCCAGCTAATCTAATGAAGATGCTCGAGTACCGTCCTCCTTGATCAAATAAGGATAAAGCAGCTGGACCGGTGACGGTTTTAGCTACAGTTTTAGTGACTTCTTTGATCTCTGTACTTCCATTGCCATTTTTAAACAAGATGCTCTGCAAAATAATTGTTATGAACTTCTATAAACTTTAATTAAACATCAATACCTTTGTTGTTCCAATGATTTTCTGACTGACTGGATTATTGAATAAAAGTGTATTAAATGCATCCATTTTTCAGGCTTATCTTTTATTGAATTTTCAGAAAAACAGCTGTGATATTTGATCTATCCTTTATGTCAGCTGATAACTTTTGATGATTGCTTTAAAATATATAGCTTTACTATAATTATCAATTGTTTAAACCTTCATAATCTTAATTATTATTAGAACAATTTTCAATTTAAGAAATTTCAAGTCAGGGCTTTAGAACTGACATAAAGTTGTTTACTTTTATTTACAATATTTATGCTGTCAATATTAGGGAGTGAATCCAGTTAACAAAGAATATCCAATAAGATTCTAACCATCTATCCAAAAAGAAACTTGATTGGATATAATTTTGAGCAGTTTAAGGAAAAATAGAATTTGGGCAGATCAAAAGTGCACTGTTGCCTTAAAAACATAAACAATATCAAGCTATTACAAGTATAATCTGTTTATTTTACTGTATGGCGCATTTCTATTCATTGTGGATAGAAAATAAGCATAATTAATACTTGATCTTTTCGAAACTTCAGCACAAATTAAACGTATTTTCAAAATTTGAAAAATATTTTCCTGAAATTTTTATCTTTTGGTTTGTTGACAAACAAAATAATTGTAAAATTTAATTAAATTGCGAATTTTAGAGGTTTCTAGCAATTCCGTTAACTTAAAAATTTACAGGTAATTAACAAGAACAGTAAACAGACAAAGTGAGTGAGAAATTCTAGTTTTTAAAGCTATAATCGCTCAGAAAATATGAAGTGTATGTTCTGTTTGAATTTGGACAACGAAAATAACTTAATACACATTAATGATAGACTGGATGAGAACAATGAATATGTAGCTGCAGATTTAATTAGGATACACTTTCCATTTGCAGAGGTAAGCTGCAATTTTGTCCAGAATTGATCAATTCTAAAATTCTTATTTACACTTTTTTCTAGAAAATATTAAGGAACAGTGAAAATGAAGGAATCTGTCACAATTGCTGGCTTAATGTCGATTCCTTTCATGAGTTCTTTACGTTGGTTGCCAATAACTATGGTATGGAAGGGAATATTAAGTACGACACAAGCTGTATGGATGTTGAAGATACAGATGCTTTAAAAACTGAAGATTTGATTGTTTACGATATTGTCGATGTAAATCATCAGGATGATAAAGAAATATTTGATGAAAATCTCATAAAGGAAGAGACATCAGAACTAGATGAGACAATAACGGAATGGATTTCTGAAGAGAATTCACAGTATACACCAAAGAGTAAATTTGATTTGCAATATTACGGTTCAGAAAATGATACAGCTGATGATCAAAGAATCCGAGAAACAGCAAATATGCTTTGTGATTTGTGTTCAATTCCTCTTGAGAGTCTCAGGGATGCAAAATCTCATTTCAAACATGCTCATCAAATAGAAGGATATTTGATGTGTTGCAATAGGAAATTCAGACAGAGATGTAGACTTGTAGAGCACGTAAATACTCATTATAACTATTCATATCCATGTCCAATTTGTGGCAAAACATTTGATTCTAAGAGCTATTTATCCAAACACTTGGCATGTCATGAAACTATTAAAGAATATGTAAGGCATTGATTTATAAGTTTCCTTTCCACAATAATCTATAAACTCCTTATTATTTCAGAAATGTGATCACTGTCCAAAGTCCTTTGCAAAGAAAGTAAGTCAATGACATGAATTGAGTACGAAATGTGATTAATTGTTCCTTTAAATTACAGTTTCAGGTTCGAAATCATTTACTTTCCGTTCATATATTCGACAATGTCGAGGCTCAGTTTGAATGTCCAATACAAGATTGCTTTAAAAAGTTTGTGAATCAGGCGCGACTTAAACATCACATCGACTATACACATGCAGCAACAAATATGGAAATTTGTGAAATATGCTCCAAGACATTCAAGACAAAGAGTGCGATAGAGGAACACAAAAAGACTCATTTAAGGAAACCTGAAGATAGAATCAAGTGTGAAATTTGTGGACATTATCTTGGTGATCTTAAATCCTTTAATCGTCATGTCAAAAATCATGCTACGGAAGCTCAAGAGAATCAATGTTCTTATTGCGGCAAACGATCTCCAAATTTAAATGCCCTGAAAAAGCACATTCGTTATGTTCATGAAATGGCAAAAAATTTCACCTGCAAGTATGTTTATTGAGCTTAATTTTATAGTTCCTTAAATCACTAAAGAAATGTCAATTTACAGATATTGCGACAAAAGTTTTAAAAGACCGCGCAATCTCATCGATCACGAAGCTTCTGTTCATACATTGCAAGATCTTTACACCTGTACATTTTGTCCTAGAACTTTTCGTAATCAATCAAATATGTTGTCGCATAGAAAGAAGCAACATCCAGATCAATATCAAAAACCGTCGTATATGCGAGACGATGTCGTTGTTTAGCACTTAATAAAAATTGAGGATTAAACTTTTTTGTTTTTTGATAGAAATGAATTATTTCATTTAAAAAAGAATCTTATGCGTGGAAACAAATGTAATATTACTAGATTAAAAATATACAGTTTTTAAGAAAAAATTAATTAATGTGAATGTCAAGGAATGGCTATTTTGAATAAAACTTGAAGCTCATTTCAGTTCTTTTGAAAAACGTTAAAAGTTGTTCAGTAGTTCAAAGTTAATTTCAGTTCAGTTCATTTGAATATTTGAAAACCGTTAGAATTCAAATTTACAAAAGCCGATAAAAAGAATTATTTTTAAGCTATTACAAATTACAGAGTTTATCAAAATGACCATGCCTTGAATATTGTAGACTAAAAAAATGTAAGGAATAAAGAAAAAGTCAAAAAATGTTAATAAAAACAAGGAATCTTAATCTTCAGCTAATTGTTTAAGTAATTCCAAGCGCTTAGTCTCAAGTTCTGACTCGCTCATCGCCTGATCATCACTTAGTGCAATTTTTGGGGATGGAACATCTGATTCTTCATTACTTATATTCCCAGAACTGTGTGGTGATCGTGTTTTATGCTTTTTCTTCTTTTTACGCTTTTTTTCGACAATTTCTTCGTCATATTCCTCAATTGGTGACACTTCCTCATAATTCTCATGTTCTTCAGACGATGCGGAACTTGATCGAGAACGCTTCTTTCGTTTTCGATTCTTTTTCGACTTTTTTGATTTTGAGTGATGATGAGTGCAAATATTTTCTGTCTCATTTGTGAATTCATTCCAAACTTCTTCAATCTTTAATTCTGCATCATACGCCTCGTAATCAATCTTATCAATTACACATGCTTTAGCCTTATCCCATGAATCTGCTGCAGTCAAACCAGCATCAAGCCAGTGGTTTTTAACTTCATTCTCTAATTTTCTTATTCGACGATTCTCTTCCTTTTGTTTTTCTTTTTCAACTGCTGTTGCCTTCTCAAGCATTGAATTATATGTTAATTTTACATTTCCTGGATCAAGAGAGGCTGATCGTTGATCCTCACAAACAACAGTGGCAAATTCTTCAAACGACGTACTTGCTTGAACATTAAACTTTCTTTCTTTAAGGATTTCTTTAATTAACTTTTTATCGTCATGATAATGTGCCTTTAATTGATCAACATAAAACTTGAATAGATCTAATGGCGTTGATCCAGGTTGTCCTAACATCGCTGAGAAACGTAAATCTGCTGATATTGTTGGATATAATTCAACCCAAGTTGAAACGGATGTAAGTTTTCCATCTTCATGGAGAGAATCAAGCAGTGTCAGGAAATTGTCACGATTCTTTCGTTGTAACCGTTTTTGACGTCTCTTTTCATTCTCCTTTTCTTCTGTTTCCTCAATCTCTAATGCACGAATATGCTCTTCAAAAACAATCAATGCATCTTCCTTGTCCATTCCTAAAAGTGAAATGTCACTCTTAAATTCATTATTGTCCAACAGTAAGACTTGTGCTTCTGACCATGTCGATTGAAATGATATCGAGTCCATCGATTCCAACAGTTTTCCTGAAAAAAAAAAATTGAAAACGATTTGATTAAAATAAATCCCAGGATTAAAGAATTTTACTTACTCAAGACCTTGATGTTTCTCTTTTTGAGCACTTTTGCTTCTTCCTTTTCACGTTGAGCTAAATTAAAGATACAGTCATCGAATATATCGCGTCGGTCTTGTTCTGGCACAGCTTTCCATACTTCTAAGTTTGAAAACATTTCTTCACAACGATAGTACTTGACTGTAGAATCGACTTTTTCGTGTGACATGAGAAACTTTTCTAAATTCTCTTTCGATTTCTTTGCCTTTAATCTTTGTTCTTCCTTCTCTTCCTTTTGTTTTTGTGTTTTATATGCATTGAATGCCTGCTTCTTCTCATTTAGTTTTTTAAAGGCATTATATTTTGGATCTTTTGATATAATCTTTATGCACTGCTCCCATGTACACGCTGGAACATTTTTCTCTTTAAGGAACTCTTTAAATGCTTCAATTGCTTCCTTTTTGTCCTTAAATTCAACGACTGGTTCTTCTGGAATTTCAGCAATTGGTGGCTTTTCTTCTTCTTTAGGCAAGAGTGGAACTTCAATTGAATCAAGCTGTGCTAATGTTGCTGCCATTGCATGATCCAGTGCTGATGATGATGAATTTTCATTCGATCCAGGTGTTTTACTTATATTATCTGACATCATAAGAGGTGATGTAATTGGTGTATTTGAAGACGAAACTGGAAAGCTTTGAGATCCAGAACTACCTTTTTCGGAAGTAATCTTCTGTTTGATTTCATTAAATTCTGGTGGTGCTGTCCATCGTGACTCTTTAGTAGCTGAATTATAATAATACGGTTTACCGGAATCAGATATATATTCTTTCCATGGGCATGTTGATAATAAACGCTGAAATGATTAATTTCATTAAATCTTTAACAATTTTAATTTCATGTTTTGAAACTTACTTCGCCTGGTGTTTTTAATGAATCTGGCTTATCCCAACGGCTTTCTTTTGTGACGGAATTATAGTAATATATCCGTCCGTCAGGAGCTCTATGTTCGCTCCATTCAAAAGTCGACATTTTCACTCTAATTCACCTTTTTCTATTTTTTTTTTATGTTTTAAGTGTCAGTTCTCGGCAAAATTTTATGTGTGTTTAGAAAAGAAACTTCTGAATTTGAATTTTTAAAAACCGTTATGTTTTCAACGACTTTTATTTATATAAATTGCACCAAAACTTCGCTAAATCGAATCAACAAAAACAAAAGTTTTTTGTGATTTTAAAAATCTTTAAAAAATCATTAATTATTGTAAAATGGAGAATGGAAATGTATCAAGAAAGAAGAGCAAAAAGAAGAAGATAAGGAGTAATAGTCCACAAGCTGCAAATACCACAGAAAAAGTGAGTAAAACAGAATTAATTAAAAATTGAAGCTTGTAAACATTATTTATTTACAGTACTTTTGTGGATTCAGTAATAGATCTGTTAGAAACATCTGTGAGCAAATTGATAATACAGAAATACAGCCAGAAGTCTATTCTAGACTAGCTGAAGATGCAACTTATAAACTTATGGAAGTTGTTAATGTAAGTCACTGGATCCAATAAATTAAGCTATGCTCACAAGCTATTTAATTGCAGAACATCAAGAATTATGCTAAGCATAGCGGTGGAAAAGTTACATTTGAGTTGACTAATGAAGTTCTTAAAGATTCAAATTGCTCATTAATTCTTGGTTCCGATACTAAACTATCGTACGATTTTATTGAGGATGATCATAAGCAGCTCATTTATTTCACACGAGACGAGACATTAGACTTGACAGAAGAGTTTAATAAGCATGTAACAGAGGAGAATGTTAATGGTCCGATATTCTTGACTAATACTTTCTTACTGGATGAAAAGATTGACGAGGATTATATCGAGTTTTACCATAGCATTTGTGACGGTATGTAGTTAAACTTGCTCTAAAATTGAATTCATTAAGTTAATAATACATTTAGCTGTGTTCAACGGAGACGAAGAATGTACAAATGAGGCATTTAAGGTACTCAGTACAAGTTGTCATGTAGCAGGATTAGTTAAGCACTTCCTTATTAAATGGATCGACATGATTGCTATAAGCTACACAAATAACATTCTTGATAAATCTATTGGATATTTGGAAGCGATTTTAAGAAATCCATATACCTCAAACAGTGATATGAATATAGAGCTTAAGCATGTGTGTCAGTTGCTTTCTAGCTTACTTGTGGGATCCATTAATGATGAAGTAAGAGAAAATGGACATTATACTGAACTGGAGCATGATCCATCAGAATATGCTACTTACGATTCCAATATAGTTTCTTATGATGGAAATAACGGAATCATTGATAATAACAACGGAATCAACATTGATGGTATATCCGATGACTCAAATATGAAATTCGACGACAACAATGCGATGCTTATTGAGAATTTCAGCATGGAATCTGAAAAGACAGGCAGAACACTCCGGGATGAACTTATTGAAGGTTTTGAAGACTATTCAGTAAAAGCAAAGCTTGAAAATCACGAAGAAGTATCGAAAGACTCAGCAGAATCGACTCGATCAACAGGCGGTCGTAATGACATTGAGGATGAATTTAATGCTCTTCTATCCACAAACTGTGCATCGACAATTAAATGCACTGAACATTATGTCGATGCAATTTGTAAATTAATTGGAATGTGTGGCTCTAAATGGTTCGGAGTTGAACATTACTTGACTGTATTAATTATTAGCGAGGTTGAGAACTACCTGAAGATTAACAAAAGGATTACTGGTAAGTTATATGTCGCAATTATTAAAATGCATGTATTAATGTATTTTGGTTCATTTAGATTACGAGTGGCTAGGCAGAGTAGTCAAAGGATTGTGGTCTTTAGGCGAATTCTCATTTCGGGAACTGCTCGTGTTTTTTGAAAAGGTGGAAACAAGAAATCTGATAATAGGCTCAAAATTAGCATGCGACATTAATTGCTCAGGAATTTATCTTCGTGGAAAACGAGACATTTTCTTTTATGAATTTTTATATGAAGTATGTGGTGATAAGCTACTTCCGTTCCTCGTTTATTATGCGAGATACTTGCTGAATTACAACAAGAGAACTGCAAAGATTGAAGCATATAATAAGGCACAGACTGATTCGATCTTTAAAATAGCACCGAAGAAACGATTTATAGGATATAGAATTCAAAGATTACATCCAATAATCGATAATCGTCAGCCAATCACAAAACTCATTTCTCAAGCACCAAAGACAATCAACATTCAGTATGGACATAAGATATCGACGAAAAAGATGCGAAAGTTAACAAGGATCGATGAGAAGCGTGAAGTCATTCAAAATCCAGAAAATTTATATTCATTTAATCAAAGAGTTGTTATTGTTAAGGGACGATACTTGAAATCGCTGTCGAATGAGAAGAAAATTAATTATTACACAAGTTTTCACAATTTTACTCTCTAGAATATATGATTAAGTTAAGTAAAGTATTAAAATAAATCACATAATTATGGAGAAATTGATTCCTGCCTTAGTTTTCAAGAATGAAAATGATTGTAGTTTCGATCTAGACATTTTTTCTTTTGATCGAGAAGTTCAAGTGTAAGTTAATTAATAACTTTTAGGTATAATCGGCATGATCAATCCCTTCATTACAGCCGAAATCTTTTTGTGACAACGAAAGACTGTCCTTTAAAAAAGTTAATCTACGAACAGCAAACAAATAAGGATGAGAAACCAAAATCCAAGAAATTCATATCCAGCATTGACATGAAACCGAAATTCCAAGTTAAGCATGTATCAGAAGAGATTAAAATTACTGATCAACCTTACAGGCGCATATTATATACAAGTTCTGTTGAAATTCATGTAAGCCACTTGTTGATTTATTTTCACGCACATAATGTCGAGTTGTATTGAGATTAAATTAATCGGGGATTTAAAATTAATCCTTGAATTAAAAAAAAATAAGTTCAAGTTTTTGAAACCCTTTAAATATTTAAAATTATCTCAGATTTAATTCAAATTTATAGCGCAGTCACAAACCAGAGAATCTGCCGTGCATCAAAATCATCCCATCAAATACAGACGAATTAACATGGAAAACGTCAGTCAAGTTTGACATGTACGACAAAACAAACGGATGTGCTTAATGTTTTTTAATACGTTTTATTTATTTTTTTGCTAACATGCTGTCATTTAAATTAATTAAATTAAAATGGTTTTTGTTTCTTAGCTTTGTGGTACGTGTATTTAAAAGCTTTAATAAATTATCTTGCTTAAAGTTCTTCAAGAATCCATAATTTGAACTTTATATAATTTTTCTACAATCTCTTCAGGCATACAGAATGTTGGGTTGATTTTCTTTAAATTTGGATATCCTAATAATGACAATGCACCGATTCCAAAGAGTGTGTGGAAGATGTCTGGTAGATTTCCTGGACGATCACTAAATCCTCCTGTTTCAGTATCTTGGCACGAAAGAATAAATTCTTTTAATTTCTCTCCACTTATCCAATGGGATCGTCCCATGATTGTTAAAGAAGACAGCACCCACCAAGAATAACAGACATCCGGTAGCTTTTCAGGTCGTCCATTCAATCCACCCGATTTTAATTGTCTTTCACATAACCACCATGCTAGCTTTTCCGTTTCTAATCTATGCAAATTATGTGTTATCGATAGGAATCCAACACAACAATAAATCAAGCCAGCATGACTCTCAGCATTTGGTTTACTTCCAAAACCACCATCAACATTTCCACAAGATAATACAAATTCAACAGCTTTGTCAACATCAATTAGATCCATTTGATTAGTTAAAGCTAATATTGCTACAGCACAGAATGAAAATCGTGTATCAATTTCACCCCACTTATCACCAAAGAAAGATCCGTCAGGCTGCTGAAGCGATTGGACATACTTTCCAACACTAGCTACATCAATTTCATCTAATGCATTATATGTACATAGAATTTGAATAGCACTAAGTGTATAGAGAAGATGTGGATCATGTTCTTCACAAGCAGAGATTCCACCACTTTTTATACATTGACACTTTTTAATGAATCCAATAATCGATAATTTATCAAGCTTGTCTAATTCACCCATTATATCTAAACAGGTTGTTCCCCAATAGATTCCACTCATCCGTAAAAACTCTGTCATCGTGTATTCCTATACGATGGTCATTTCAATTAAAATTAATTAATTTCAATAAAAAGATTTCACAAATTACTTACAAAGTCATTTTTATCGTTTCCATGATTTGTTACATAATTAACATGCTTCTCGAACAATAGATCCTTAGGATCGCTTTCAGTCTGACCGTTTTCCTAAACATCCAGCATTAATTAAAGTAAAGATATTTATTAAAATTGATTTTTCATCTTACCATTATTTTTTTTGCTTATTTTTGTATGCTTGTACTCTGATCACTAACGTATGCTATAGATGCCTTTCGTTAAGTTGATTTATGTGAGATTTGAAGGTAGTCAAGCACTTATTTTTAAAGAATTAAATGAAATTTATTGGTTTGGATCATAAAAAGATACAGTAAGTTACTGGATCAAGCGAGTAAGTAATAAATGATAAGAAATGGATACACCGTTTTTGTACGGACCGATTTATTTATAGTCAGGCACAGAAGTAAAGAAAAAAGTCTTTTGTTATCACGAAATATTAAAAGTTGACTCATCGTTTTGTATATTATAGCTACGTCTTCATTTTTAATCCAATAACGAGTTTCCTTGCTATTTAATTATATTTACTGATATATGTGAAGTTGTGCTATTATTCTAGATTAATTAATATTTATAATATTGTGACAATTCTAGACAAATTTGTTGATTTTTTGTGCTTAAAACTTGAGTAAAAAGTTTAATTATTTAATTTTGAATTGAAATGGCAACTGAAAAGTGTCAGATGCGTGCATTAATATTAGTTGGTGGATATGGTACAAGATTGAGGCCTTTAACATTGTCTAGACCCAAACCTCTTGTTGAATTTGCTAATAAGCCGATTCTATTGCATCAAATTGAGGCACTAAAGGAAGCTGGTGTAACTGAGGTATGAATTGTGACATAAAAGTGATGAGCTGTGTTGTAAATTATGTGTCTTATTAATGTAGGTGATTTTGGCAGTATCATATAGAGCAGATGAAATGGAAAAGGAACTAAAACATGAGACAGAAAAGTTGGGAGTGAATCTGATATTTTCACACGAAACAGAACCACTTGGAACTGCTGGTCCTTTAGCTTTGGCCAAAGATATCTTATTAACAAGTTCAGAACCATTTTATGTACTAAATTCTGACGTCATTTGTGACTTCCCATTTCAAGAACTTGAGAAATTTCACAGAAATCACGGTAAAGAAGGAACAATCGTGGTGACAAAAGTAGAAGAACCTTCCAAATACGGAGTCGTTCTGTATAATAATGACGGATGCATTGAAAGCTTTATCGAAAAACCTCAAGAATTTGTCAGTAATAAAATTAATGCAGGCTTGTACATCCTTAATCCTTCCGTTTTATCACGCATTCAATTGAAACCGACGTCCATTGAAAAAGAAGTATTTCCATACATGTCAAGTGACAAGCAGCTTTATGCATTCGAGCTTAATGGTTTTTGGATGGATATTGGACAACCAAAAGACTTTTTAACAGGTACTTAATTTATCAATGACTAGTCATGACTTGTTTTCACATTTTTCGTGACTTTCAGGAATGTGCTTATATTTAAATTCATTGAAACATCGTGATCCATCTCAGTTATATGAAGGTGAAGGAATCGTTGGGAATGTATTAGTTGATCCATCGGCGAAAATCGGAAAAGGCTGCAGAATTGGACCAAATGTAACAATTGGTCCCGACTGTGTAATTGAGGATGGTAATATATTATGTCATTTAATTATTTATAGATTGATTTAGACATTAGACTGATTAAGATGTTATGAATTTGGGAGCCTAAGGTTGACAATAGCGCATACTCTTAGAAGACTTTGAGTGGGAATGTCCTTTAAAATTAAGCTACACAATTTAGTGCTTTTGGTACGGATACAGGACGAAATGAAGGAAATGAAGGCTGTTTCATATGTTATAAATACTGTGCACGAAATAAAGAAGTTATCAATACGATAGCACAATCAAGTAACGGTTTTTCTGAGCCACAATCATTTTCTGCGTGACAAATTTCGCTAAATAGACAATAGACAGCTTAAAAACTGGAAAAACAACTGTCTAAACTCTAAATTTTATGTCTATATAATTAACATATATCTCTAAAATTTCTCTTATCTTCAGGTGTGTGTATCAAGAGATGTACTCTTCTAAAGGGAGCTATCATCAAATCACATTCATGGCTCAGTTCATGCATAATTGGATGGCGATGTATTGTTGGTCGATGGGTTAGATTGGAAGGAATAACTGTACTAGGAGAAGACGTGATTGTAAAAGATGAAGTATTCGTAAACGGAGGACAAGTATTGCCGCACAAAAGCATCACCGAAAGTGTTCCTGAGCCATCAATTATTATGTAAAAATGATTTTTTTTATACAAGGAATTGTCTTATATTATTTTTTATACACGTACGTCTGTTCTTATCATCATCTTTTAAAACACATTATTTACTCTTACTTCTGTTCACGTATTTTGTTGCAATAAAGCGCATTCCTTTAATTTGATAAGAGTATTAAAATAAAAATTAATTTACATAAATTTCAAAGCGATTCTTGCTTCTTTATTTCATAATTATTTTTGTGGGTGTGTGTATGCTTAGTGATTACAACTTCGAGGAAATTGTGTGAGAATTACAGTTTAAGTAAAGTTCTAATGCAATAAATGTAAGGTAAATATGATATTATGGAAATGTCTCTTTACCAACGTGGATTCCCAGTAAATCTTGTGGATGTTGTTGGTATGATATTGGAATTTCCATTGCTGACATATTGTGTAGTTCTCATTGATTGATCAATTGGATAATGTTGAGAAGTTTTACGGTCATTATTTGGGAAGCGATATTCACGATTATCGTCCATATTATTACGTGACCATGATGCACTATTGTCTGCTGTCTGTGCCTTAGCTGCATTCCATAAATCAGTTGAGCCCATCCCTCCAAATTGTGATTGATGACTTGTATTTCCAGTCCATGTTGTTGTACTTGGAACCACTGGAGGACGATTATATCGAGTGTCTGACTGTGAGTCATAATAACGTGATTTACTGCTGTCATTTCGAGAATCATCAGCTCGACTTCCACTGCTTCGATAATCAGAAGTTGATGTACGATCTGAATATCTATCCTTACTGGAATTTAATGATGAATCTATACGATTGCTGGACGAAGAATTGTAGCTTCTTGACGAGACTTCAACATCTCTCTTATAATCGTCACGGCTACTTCCACTGCTCTTATATGAATCTCTTTTATAATCATCACGACTTTTTGAAGAATATCCATCGTCACGTTTTGGATAATCATCAAGACGTTTTTTGATATCTGTTGTTGATCGATCGCGATCATATCCTGAGCTTCTAATTTTGTGAAAAATAAATTAATTTTAAGCATTGAATTAGAATTCAAAATGTATGAACTGAACTGAATTGAACGATTGAACTACTGAATAAATCTCGTTCAATATTTGAATTTTAGAAAACCGTTAAATCTTCAACATAGTATAGTAATGTTACTCACCGACTCAAATCGAATCTTGGAGGTGGTGGCGCTTCAAATCCTCGTCTATCGCTTGCTGGTCTCTTTCTATCACGATCATCGTCATATCGATCATTCGATAATGGTCTTTTTATAGCCCGTTTCTCCTCTTCAATCCTAAATGTTCAGTAAATTAGAAAAATAAAAGAAAATTCGTAATGTAGTACTACTTCCGATAAGAGTGAAGATATGTTTTTAAGCAAATCTAATTCAAGGACAATAATCAACAAAATAAATTTTTAAAAATCGAATCAGTTGTGTTTGCATGTAGAACATGTTAAAGTTTGCGCTGGATTTTTGTTGTGCTTCTGCTGGATCTAGTTGATATATCAGTCGAATATTCTGATTGATTGTATGCTGGTCCATTGATTGATTGATGTATTTCGGGCTAGTTGCTGACATTTCTTAAGTTTTGCCATCTTTTGGTTATCAAATTGTGATCAAGAATCGTTCCTTTCATCAAATATCTACCTAACTGATGTCTGCATCACCAAAATCAATATCTAGCAGTGCTGATCATTTATTTCTAGCTCCATACTATCAAATCACGTATAGCTGCATATCACTCAAAGCTTTAACTCCATAAATAATATCACAGGACTAGTAAAGGTGTGTTGAGCCGTCCACAAACAATAACATGCCCTACAGAGGCAATGATTTTAAGTTTTTCATAATTTTTCATAAAATTTTCTTTCATTTTTTCTCGATAATAATAGTTACAGGACAAATGTGTGAAAACATCAAAGAGAACGACCTCAAAAAGGAGCAAATTGATTGAAATTGAACTGAATAAGTTAATTAAATCTACCGCTACTAAATGTGTGTGTATATATGTCAGGCGAAATCAGTGTTGTATTCTGACAAGTTGTCTAGATCAGTTAATATCTGACAGGGATACTTTCTTTTGTAGAATCTGTCTACATGGAGATAGGAAAAAAAACAATCTACATATAAATTCGTGAACATTGTTTTTTCTATGTTCATGCAGATAAATCTACATAAAGAAAGTTTCAACAGAATATACTGTAGAATCTACATTCAGCCTCTAGTATAGATATCTACATTTGCAACACTGTACGAAATTAGATTTTTTTTTTATATATTTAATAATGAAAGAAAAAGGATATAGAGAATATTATCTGATTATTATCAGTGTTACATGTAAAGTCATACTTTCTCTGCTGTCTCTTTAATTCTAGACGCTCAAATTCGATCTTTTCCATCTCCAATTTCTGTCTTTCTCGCTGAATTCGGACCAATTCAGCCTTTTCCTTAGCAATTTTAAGTTTTTCAAGTTCCAACTTTTCACGTTCTTTTGCCAGGCGTGCATCTTCTTCAATTTGCCTCCTTCTGATCTCACGACGGCGTCTTTCCTCTTCACGCATTTGCTTTTCTCTCATATCTCGCTCACGTTCGCGACGTCTACGAATTTCTCTTTCCTCACGTAAACGGCTTAGTGATAAAATCTCTCGACTTCTTGATTTGCGTTCAACTCGAACATTTTCATTTGATCGTTTTCTAATTTTGACATCTTTAGCTGCATCTCTTTGTCGTTCTCGTGACTTTTCTTTTGACTTGGATGATCTAGGCGGTGAAATTCGCTTACGAGGTGGTTTTGGTGGTGATGAAGTACTTGATTCGTCATCTTTTGTATCAATTGTATCTTTTGTCTTGCTGACTGATTTCTCCTTTCGATCAGACTCTTTCGAATCTTTACTTGTTGGTGGTATTGTGTCTGGTTTATTTGCATCAGTTGATTCTTTCTTCTTTTCACCTGTTGTTGATGTAGTCCCATTTGATGGCTTAACTGCTGTCTCCGTTGGTTTTGTTGCTGTAGTGACTGCTTTTGATGCACCAGCTAAATCATTCTTTGCACGTTCAACGGAAATCATTCGTCCATGAAGTTCAGTACGGTGTAAATGCTCAATACATTCAGTTGCGTCTTTTGGATTAGCCATTGTAACGTATCCAAAGCATCGTTGATTTGCTGAACGAGTATTTGTAACAATTTTAGCTCCAACAACTTTACCATGCTTTCCAAAGATAAGCTTCAAGTCTGTAGCTCTAGTGAGAGCAGATAATCCAGAAACCCACAAGTTACGACTTGGTTGCTGATTAGCAGTATTATTTGGTATCGCAGTCGGTGACGGTGCTGTAATTTTCTTCTTTTCCGCTGTTCCGACACTAGACACTGCAGTTGAAGTTACTTCTATAATTCCGTAAGATAGTCCGAACAGAAAATAGGAAATATTGAATTCAATTTAATACTTTTTCATTTGGAATTTTTCATTTTTTTGATTTTTTTTTTATATTTGTTTAATTAAAGAGATTAATATAATGCTCGATGTCAGGTGATCCTTTGTAATCAGCTCATTACAAAGTTCTTACCCATTTGTCACTTTTCAACAACCAACGTCCACTGTCTATCGGATGATGCCAAAACGTTTCTTTATCTCGTTCTTGTCTCAAAATTATCTCGACGACCAAAATTATTTGGTTTACAAAAAAAAATAACATTCTTTATAGAGCACTAAATCCTTAACAATCTATCTATATACGTGTACTTCACAATTACATGAGTCAACAAACTTTATGGGACCTTTTTAACACAAGCTTAACTTACCATCTTTTCCGGATTTTACACTTGACGTGTCTTTCGACTTTTCCTCACTAAAATGATTAATTCACTAAGTTAATTCAGGTCATTAATTAGACTTATGAGCATGTTATGTGTTACCTTTCAGACTTCTTTTCGTTTGATAGATTGACTTGTTGCTTATCCTGTTCAGATTTCTCATCTGCATCGATAATAGGATTTTCAGTTATTTCAGTGTCTTTATATGCATTAGTTTATGGATGTTAGTAGAATGAGAGAATGAGTTTAAGCATGTTAATTACCATCACCGAGTAATTTATATATAAGTAATTTCTATCAAATTTTACCTTTCGGCTTAATATCATATTCATCGCGTAGCATTTGTTCCTCTTCTTCACCGATAGTTAAGTTTATGGAATCTTCATTATCGATATTGCTTGTTTCGCCGTCCAAATAATTAGATTCATCTTCAGTTGTTTGTTTTGGCTTTTCAAGTTCTTTTTGTTCCTGACTCTCGTTAATTTTATCGTCAGTAGTATCGATGTCTTCGCTACATTCATCTTTAAGGATCAATTCATCGTCGTTGATTGTTGAATTTAAATCCTCTTGACTGCTCGATTCAATAATTTCAATTATTGGATTTTCCTCTTCAGCCTGTTCCTCTTTTGGCTTTTCTGGTTCTTTAGAAGCTTTTGATGGAGTTGCTGGCTTTACAGTCTTTCCTTTGTTTATTTCAAACAAATATTCATTTGGATCATGTCCTTCATCAGCTAGAGCCTGAAATGTTAAGATTTTATGAAAAATATGTAGTCTCTGGATGTGTAAAATGCTTCATAATGACTAATTTAATAACAACCAATCAATGAAACAGCTTCAGTCATATAATCAACTCATTTAAAGCTGGTTTTTCAACATACAGAAATCCAACAACAATATCAAATATGGCGAAAACATCCAGAAACCCAATGTGTTTCAAGAATATCAAAATAATCCCTAAAATATGATGCATTATCATTTATTACCCTGTTACCTATGTTTATCATGACATTTAGAGCTATAACTAATGATTTATATGCTACATACCTTCTCTAATCTTTCAATTAAGATTGTTTTCACTCCACTTGTCTCTAAAGATCGCTTTTCTAATTCACTTTTTAAATCCACGACTCGCAAATCATTCAATTTCTTCTTCTCGTCAGCCATGATACCTTAAAACATCCACAATTGTCTTTACTGTAATATTCTCGCTGTATTTTGATTAATTAAATTAAATGTTTTTTTGCTCTTTCGAAAATTTCGTTCACTTTAATCGCAGTTTTTGCCCCGATTTTTGAATATTTTTTTGTCGTTATTTCTAAACGCAGTTTTTGCCCCAGCATTCAAATTTGAAAATACCGTTAAAATGAATTTTTTCATCTTTAATTAATCTTTATTATTGATTGATGATTATGATTTAGTATTTACACATTAAGCATATTTAATTATATAAATTCAGCTTTAAATTTTATTGTGATTCCGTCTGAGGGATGTAATAAAAGGAAGAAGTGGTTTGGGGGGGGGGGGGGGTATAATTGACATGCATGCTAATGTTTAGGGGTGATACGAAAGGTCCAATGAATCCACAAAAATAATGCCTCAACAAATCAAAAAGTCAAAAAAGTAACAGAACAGAATACCTGAAAAATATGGTGCGAATATGTACCTACCTCAAACGTGCTCGGTATATATCAAAATAGTTAATTGCTTTAGATTGTTTTCGTTCTCTGCCCTTTTGTTTCACTTCCATTTCGTGCTTTGAAATTCTCATGATGATGATGATGGTTGAAGAGAAGCACACAATTAATTAACAATGAATGTTGTTGGTTTTTCAAAAATAAAATGAAAATAAAATGATATGAACATGAATCCTTCATTATTATAAACGCGTATAGAGACTGAAGAGGTTACTGTATTTCTTCTATGATTAATAGCACTGAAATATTTCATTTTACTTCAAGATTATGCAATTAATCAGTGTTCTTTAAAATGAAATTCATGTAAACTTCCCTCTTGAAATTAATTCAACATTATCATGATTGGCTCTTCCTGCCTGCCCAGTCTCATATGTCTAATTTGCAATTGTATTTAATAATAATTGATTTAAATTTCAGCATATTCAAACTTCCTTCTTCGTTTTGGTCTTCGTATGATTGTCATGCATGACAGATATCGCGTAATATGTTTGCTGACTGCGTACCTTTGACTTTAGACGTTTATAGATAGGTTATTAGTCTTTACTGGCTTGGCTTTAATGAAAACAAGTTCTAAAAATTCAGATTTGTGATGTTTCTTTTTCTAGAAAAGCAAATTTAACGGAAAGCTGTAAGGTTTAAGCTCATCTATAAGTATCGCATTATGAGCAAATAACATGTAATTTTATAGAAATATTGACATAGGAAAATATCGTCATAACAAGATTTATTCAATAAAATTAGTCTGTAAATATTGCACATTTATTTATTCATTGCAATGTAATAAAAGGAAAAAGAATGCAGATTTATGACGAAAAAGTTGGAAATTTACACTTACTGAACTCAGTTCAAAATAGGATCCCCGCTGTATATATATCGATAATTTCGTGCGCAAAATAAATCTTGCAATAATATAAAAAGATCGAAGAGAAAAGAAAGGAAAGGGAGTTGCATTGGAATGTTCATGATTATATGTAATGTAAAATAAAAAGTATCAGAAAGGAGAGGAAGAAAGAAAGATGAAACAATTCTGAGATGCAAAGAAAAAAACGAAGTAAGGAAAAACGATTATTCAACAAGAGTGTGAAAATATTTGGATTGTACACTAAAAATTCATGTTCATTTTACAATTCACGAAATCTTACATTTCGCCAGAATATGATATGTTGTTGGCCAGCTAGCTATTCGTGATTTTCAGTTTTATTTTATGATTTATGTTCCTTTTAAATTGTTCGAATGTATGTATAAAATAAGAGAATAGTGATATATCGATATTGACGAACATCTTCACGATTCATTTATGTATGATTAATGTCTTTAACACTTTTTTTAAGTGTCATTACTTATAGGCTTTTAGTTAAGCTATCTGATTTTTATTAATTTCGTGAATAAGCTGTCCGATGATAAAAGCAAAAAATTGTTTTATTTAAGGTTAGGCAATACAGAGGTCGTTTGAAGATGACTGATTAACACAACTACATACCAAGATCTAAAATACCAAATTCAGCAAATCCCATGTGTTCAAGCAAATTTTTCTTTATTAATGTTCACTTATTACGTTACGCAAAAAACGACTTTTTTCACCCCCCCCCCCCCCCTCTCCCCCTTGTTACAATATGTTACAACTCACAACCCCACAGTGTGAATTCGTAAACAAATTTTTTTCGTTAATTTTTTTTTAAAACACAGACGACATTTAGAACGTTACATACTTCTTGACACCCCCCCCCCCCCCCCCCTATGTTACATTTTTCAAACCCCTCCTCCTCCCTTAAAATGCAAGCGTAATAAATGAACGGTCCCTAAATGCGTTGTTGATCTCAGCAAGTTAAGTTGATTTATCACTGAATTCAGCACATTAATTTTTTCATAAAATTCAGCAAGTTAAGTTTCATTCAGCAAGTTAAGTTTCTTGAGCGCTTAATTCAGCTTATATTACCGAAATCTTATTCAGCAGAATTCAGCAAAACCTTTTTAGTTCAGAATTTTGAAGAATTTATCATTTTTTTCTTAGCATTCAATTCAACTGGAAGCGATTAGTATGAAATTTATTAAGTTTAATCACGAACAACATTGTTCATAATATAAAATCAGCAATCAGATCCAAATTAAATGTTATTTTCGTGACATTAAAAGCTTCATCTTCATCTTATTATACATAACAATCAAAACTTTATAAATAAAACTCATGATATCTAGCAGTTCCATTAAAAAAGAGAAGTAATTTCGCATGATTACTAACAATTTCCTTTCATGATTTGACTGTCAAAAGAGAAAGAAAAATATAAAAGAATTACATTAAATGTAGTTTATCAATAATATTACATCAATACACCCACATGCGCGCTCTTTTAATGCTCCATCAAGACTTTTTATTTGCACAGAAGACTTTCCAAAGAGTAGCCAATCAACATTCGTTTATACAGAACGATAATAATTTATTCGTAAAACGAAAAATGATAAGAATGAAGCATAGCTGTACAACGCATGCATGCGCAATGAAATTATTTTTAAATGATCGATGGGAAGAGGAGACTTTAGTGTATCGGAAGTGGAAATTTGTGATTTGTAGCTGAACATTTTGTTGTAATTTTAAAAAATTCAAAACTTTTTGGATTTTCTCCATTCAGAATCCAATTAATTATGTGCATACATATTCGATATGTGGTCCAGCTTCTACCAAGCAGGGAAAACAATGGCATTGAGAGTTTTTTTAATTAAAAATTCGAAACATTTAATTTTTCACACTCAACGTCTCCTACTTAAGATGCAAGAAAAAAAAGGAGTAAAGGAAGGAAAAAAATTCACAAAACATGCTTGCGAACGAGTAAAAAAAAAATATTTTTGTCGCGCGGAAAAATTAGCAACGACGGGGAGTCGCCTCGCGAGACAATAAAACAAGTTGAATTCTTATGGTTTTCTGCAAGTGTAAATAAGCAATTTCTTTCCTTCTGCTTTATTATTGTTTATCAGTATGAGGTAGCATGTTGATAATTTTACAGGAGCTTTTATCATGAAATTTTATTATTATATGAAAACTTATTAATAATATTTACCTACTATAAAATCTCACCGTCCGTAGAGAAACTATGAAAATATGAAAATTGTGATCAAATAACACTTATAATTATTATATTAAAAAAAATCTCACAACTTGAAGTCAATCAATTATAATTGGAAACCTAATTAGATACTTTTTTTACTTTAAAATTTCCAAGATTATAAAAAGCTATCAAAAATCTATCCAAACGATTCAGTGGCGGGATTAATTAACATTAATTGGGTTCAATTTTTCATCATATTTTAGACTGTTAGACTGTTATGAAAGAAAACCAATCAATCGATGTGGAATTAACATGTATTGAGCTATTTTCTTCTTCTTAAATTGGTTTAATGCGAATAAGTTTGATGACTGGCAATAGCGCATATTAAGCCGTCGGGTTAAGCTGTATGCTTATTCTTATTTGTACGTCTTTAACTGGCTGTCGGTATGTATTTTTAGAGCAACTGAACACATACAAGAGGATCTTAGGTTAGAAGCTAATATGCAGTAGGGTTACGAATAAAATGGTAGAGATGTCAAATGGTAGAGTAGACCTATATGATTTCGACAAAAGCTCTGATTTTAACGACACTCCAGAGCAGTGCTTCTCAAACTATGCTCTCGAATCTAAACTGAGAATCCAAAACTTATGAATGCCACGCTAAAAATCATGTTTAATTTTAAAAGAAAAGTCTTTAAAAATTAGCTAAAATGTCCACAACAGCCATAACAGTCACAATAAAAACTCTTAATACGCAAAATTGTGCTCCAAAAAGAAATCCAATCACGCGAATATGAAGAAAACAATTTCTAGCCTCCTCCTAATACAAATTACTCAACAAATTGAATGTATATATTTCGATAATAAAGAGATTTTAATTATAACATTTAAGATTTCTATGTATTATAGCTGTATAGATAGAAATCTTGTATTATTGCTATACATACTGTCATGGTCATGTTAATTTTCAGCCAACTTGCAAATTATACTTTTTCACATGTGAACATTTAATGCTGTAAAATTTATTGCACATTTATGTCGACTTTTATGAGCTTCGTATATTTTTTAGATTTTATTATTTGATGGAGGTTATGAAAACTTTTATATGGATTATTAGAGTTTTGTCAAATGACATGACAGCTATCAGATAGTGAGTGAGCTTTTGGGGAGATTCTTAATGTCATATGCCTAGAAATTAGTCAGGCTATCGTAGTAATTTATTTGAAATACTGTATATCGATGAAGGTAAAGTTTAAATGAATTTTGAATATATGACTGCCAAGTAAATGATCGAGTTCACTTTATATCTTCTCGACGCATTTATGATTATTAAAAGTCATTTAACTTATGAAATATTTTCAAACTCGATTAAAATTGAATTTTCAATAAATCCAAAACAAACGAACAAAATGAGATCATCAAAAAAAAAGAGTTTTTCTTTGTCAATTTAGCATAAATATTTGTCTTCTATTGACAAATCACGAATACCACAGCGATTTAAATTGAAATATGAATTACTCAAATCGTTTTTTCCACGACGA